CTTAGTTATGTGGGTTGTGATGTGTGGGTTTTGTCAAGATGATAATTTAAAGTGAAGTAAAATGGGTACTTGTGTGTTCCAGCAGATTACAGATGCCATGTAACTTAATTATGTCAAAACTGTATTATGATTCCTCCCCCTGACCCTGCATCCTCCACACAGGAATAAACATTCACACACAATTATTTTTGCAGTTTTCTGGCAAGGCTTAAAGAGCTGACATTGTGCCTGCACGTCATGCTCAAGCAGTAAGTGTGGAGGGAATCCATATGGGTGAGGGTAAAGGCTACAGAGTCTGTGGTGCATTATTTGTTTTTATTTGTGATTTTCCGATCAGCTTTGTAGAGGAAGTTTTTCTTTCTCTTCCTGAAATCCTTTGTGTCTTCTAGTGATGGTAATGCATCTCCTAGTTGGAGACATGCTGTTCAGTGGAAGAGGGGGAGGGAAGAGGCTGACTGGTCAGATAGATGTGACCAAAGGGGATGCAAGGACCTGCAGTCAGAGGTTCTCTGTGGTGGATATTATTTTACTGTATAGTACATATTGACTTCCAGGCTCAGCTTTACCTTACTGCCACTTGACTTTTTATTTTTCTCAGCTGTGGCTGTGAGTGGAGGCTGTGTTGTACAATGCATTGCTAGTGATCAGGGCCTAACTTCATGGTCTCCCTTTAAGTCCCTTTTCCCAGACCTGTCTGTAGAAGTGGTTGGTATTTAACACTTTTCTTCCCTCAGTCTTTTGTTGGACCAGAGGAGAGCTGCCCAAGGTCCTTTCCTTGCACTTTGGGCAGTAGAACAACAGTGTGTGCTGTTCTTAAAGGATCCTGCTCTCACAGAATTGAATAAATGCTTTTCCAGGCCTTTTACATGGGCTTTTAAAACTTGTAATTCAAGGTTTCTGAGATTGGAGGAGGTCTATAAAGACTTGTAAGTCATATATGACGTTCCAGTTACTGCTTACACAAAAATGTTAAATTGATGTTCACTACTTCAATACTGAGCATGGCACTTAGGAGGCCCTGTATGTGCTTAACCTGGCTCTTGGAAAAAATCTTGCAAAAAGCTTGTGTTGGAGAGTGTGTGTTGCTCCTTTAGTGACAGATAGGGCTGGTCAGTGGTGTTGTATGTGCTGCCAGGTGTCATGGATCTGTAGTTACTGAAGCTATAAAGGAACAAGAGCTTGTATTTTCTGTTTTATTCATGCTTTTGCCATATATTACTTTGTAGGCAAAATGAGAAATCTCTGCCTTCTGCTGGTACTGCTAAGAGAGGGGTTGGAACATGCATGTCTAAAATACAATTAAGTTTCTGCTTTAAGCAAATTTACATTGTTTTTGTGTATCCTCCAGTGTGCTTAAGGGTAATAAAGTTTGTGTGACTTTTTTTGGCATGGCAGTTTGGAAGGCCCCATATTCTGACTTAAAAATGGATAATATGAATATGTACTTCACTTCTATGTACTTAATAGATATAAACCTGCTCAAGTAGCAAAGCTACCATAGGGGGGAAAAAAGAAGAGGAAAGAAAATTAGGTGTGAGAAATCACTTTTCAGAAATTGTTTTGGTGGATTAGTATATGCTTCTGGGGATATACTTCTAGCTGAGCTCAAGTCAAGATAGTTATGAGTGATTTAGAAGACAGTGTGGAAGCTTTGTCAGAAATTACTGCAGATGTGTAAGAAATGCATAGAATAAAACAATTTGCACAGGTGGAATAGTTTTGATTACTTGGTAAGTTTGAGCTCATTTGGACCATTTATATTTTAATGTTGTTTGGTGCAAATTGAATTATCTACAACTGTGGATTGATAAGCAGAGTTTGAAATTCAGCTTTTGGTACTAATTGCTTTTGGTTGCCTTTAGGAGAGGTGCACAGGACCGTTTTGGGATTTGAAGTTCCTCCATGGCAGTGCATGTCCTGTCAAAATTTCCCCAGATAAGGAGAATTATTTTGGAGAAAGTTAGTAAAAGACACTTTGCTCCTTTGAAGATGGAGGCTCTGCTTGCTTGCTGTTGGTAAAGTGTATGCAGCTTGTGGGGAGGAAATCCCAAAGTAGCATATTTCTTGTCTTCTGATAAGGAGTGATTTTTGTTTGTTTTTAATATTTTTTTAGACAAATTACCCAACTACAAAGTTGTTACTCATTAAAAAAAGTATTACTCAAAGGATGCTTTTTTCCCCCCTTGCATTGTGGTGAAACAGTGTCTTAGTAGCAGAAATCTACTACTTTTCCATTTATTGAAGCTTGCTAGAGGGTGTGTGAATACATGCAAGCCTTTCCTGTTATGCCTTTCTGGTTTTATTTGGTTTATGCAGTAATACCTGAATGTAATGAACATCATCTTTCCTGATGCTCAGAGATGGGGAAAATCACTCTTAATTCTGTCTCAGTATTTTGGTGATTATGGAATCAGACAAGAACATATTAAAAAGAGAAGTCTTTATAACTTAAAATATTGTTTTGATAGTGCTTAATATGACAAAAGCAGAGCAGTTTAGGTCTGAAAATCTCTAAAATCTCAAAAGCGGATTAGGGTTTGGAGAAAACCAGTGATCCACCTAACCTTCTCCAGTTGAGCTGAAAATGCTCCTCCTGATTTCTGCTAGCTTATCTTTCATCATTGGGAAGAGGGAAGTGTTAGTGTTAGTCCACACTTCCGTGCTGTCCTTCCTGCACTGCAGCACATCAGCCACATTCTGTGCTGCTCTGCTTTTCATCAGCCTCTTGTTTATTTGTGAAGGACGTCACTGGCAGGCTTCCACGGTGACCAGTCCTGTTTATCCATGGAGCAGAAACAGGCTGGCAGTGTCATCTTTGGAACTGCCCTGAGTGATGCTTGGGTGGAGTGGCTCCTTTTCAATATGAAGAGCTGAGATAAATGTTTTTGAAGGATCTCTGTTAAGACAGGAAATAATCACTGGAAATGGTAGGCTCATTAATCTCTCCTGGAGGCCTGCTGTGGTCACAGGATAAGATTTCAGGTGAAGTAGACATGCATACTTTGAAAACCCTTCAAGAATGCCTTGTTCCCATCAAGAAGGGTACTTTTGTTTTAAGAAGGCTGAATGATCATTGCACTGTACTGTTTGTGGGTTTTCAAAAGTGTGGCTTTGCAAGTATGCATTTTGAACCCAAAGCATTTAAACAATTGAAAGAATTGATCACTTCTAAAAAATCATCTTAGAGTCAAGTGCAGCAAGGAGAAGATTGGGGTTTAATCTTAAACTTTAATCTTGGGGTTTAAGATTAAACTTTAATGTTCTGTTTCTGTATTTGTAATAGCTGTAAATGTTTTGATTTGGGGGAGAGCGTTGTTCTGTCCTTAAGGTCTTTTCCTTTCCTTTTCTTTCATTAATACTGGTACTTCTGTTTAGGGAACTGAGACACTAAATTAAATGCTCTGTTGACTTCCCTGTGGAGATAACACGCCAGGAAAACAGATGGCTTTTTTTTTTTTTTTTTTTTTAAATTTTATAATTTGCTTCAGTGAGTATCATCTCTTTAGTTCACTATTATATGGAAGCTCAGATGCAAATGATACTCATCCATTAAAATACTAAGAGTATTTGTATCAGGAGCCATCCCTACCAACATTAATACATAAAGGAAATCAAGTGAGATTAAAAATATGGGCGAAGATAATGGGAGAATATCTGGACTCTGTTATATGTAGAACTTCAGGGAGCTCCATGTACCTTGAGTTGTCCTTCAGTATGTAAAAGACAACTTAGAGTTGCATGCAATACTTACATGTGGCTTTGAGGGGGAAATATAAGGGTAAAAACACTTGTAAAAGGAGAAGTTGCCATAATGTATTACAAACTTGCTTAAAATAGGGATTTTAAATAATTTCTGAGAGGTTTCCTTTTTGCTGTGTGTGCATTCACAAACCTATGTACTTGTTTCTTAAGAGCAGCTCTTCTGAAAATCAAATGCTCTTTCTAGCTACATGATTTTGCTAGCATTTAATAGTTTGAAAACATAGTAGAATAGATCTTTACTATTTATCCCTGAGCAATCAGTCCAGAGCCAAGTAAAAGTCAAGGACTTTGCTACTGAGTAATAGCTGCAGCCCAAAAAAGCATGTGTTATCATTGAGCAAGAGTAAAATAAAACCAATGTGTAAATGTGAATCAGTTGCATCCTGCAGATACTAAACATGATTTCCACACAATAGGGTTTTAGATCTGCTTTATCTGCTGCTCCTTTTTTTAGACCCTGGTAATTAGCTGAAGAGGATGGAATGTAGAATGCATAACCATTACTCTGGCTATTACTAAGTCTTATTCAGCTGACTTCATCTTCACATTACTTTACTTTCTAACAGTACTGTGCAGTGTTGGCGTAGCATTAGAAGATTTTTTTTCTTAGTCATCTGACCATTTTGACTGAACTTTGATCAGTTGTCTGGAGGGGATATTGTATGATAGGCTGTTCACATCAGGCACAAGAAGTTTGGGTTTGCAAATAAGATGTGTGGGAATGTGTCATGCTGGGCTGGGGGGAAGAGAGCCCAGTCCCTCGTGACTCCAGGCAGTCAATGCTATGTTCAGTAAGGTATATAGGCCATCAGCTCCACGTGTTATCATTTGCCATAGCTGTAAGTAATTTCCTTAATGCCATCTGATAAACATACATCCTGAATAGAGGTCTTGGGCTGTGTCCTCCAACAAACTATAAAAAGAGCTGGAGGGGTTGGGTTTTGCCATGCATTTGAATAAGGGGTTTTTTCCCTCAACTTTTTTATGTAAACCCTTGAGTTATCATTGCAGAATGTTTAAAAATCATCATTCTTTTTCAAATGCAAGCTTCCCAGTATCTGCACTGATGAGGATAGCTGATTCATGGATGACAGATGCTTTGATCAGACAGGTCACAGAAGCAGTGCTACAATATTTTCATGTCATAAAATACTGCTCTGATTTGCTTTTCTCAGAAGCAATGGTAAAATGATGTTTTCCTGTTGTAAAATACTGTCTCTGATTTGCTTTATTCTTAGATTCAAAAGGAAAAGAAACTGCAGCAATGAAAGCTGACCTCCTAAGGGCTCGCAATGTGAAGAGGTATATTAATCAGCTGACAGTGGCAAAGAAGCAATGTGAGAAGAGAATAAGGCTCCTGGGAGGCCCTGCTTATGATCAGCAGGAAGATGGCATTTCTGATGAAGGCGATGGCCCTCCAAGTCAGAAGGTATAAATGGCATTGTCTGAAGGTCTTTCTAAGTGTGTTACCACTGGATGGATCATGTTGCCTCACTGTCGTTAATCCCTCCCTTCCCCCAGGAGTCAAGTACAAATTAATTGCTGCTTGGTTTGTTTACTTTGGGAAAAGATTACTGAAGTACCCAAAAAGACACGTTAATTGCTCAACTTGGAATATTGTGCAATGTGAAACTTCACAAAGGGCTGGCTGAGTGGCTTGTAAGCACGTGTGATTTTTCAGACATACCACCTGTAGGGAGTTAATGAGGACATGGTAGCAGCTTTTGTGAAAGTAGCAACTTGCTTTCGAATAAAAGACTGCCAACAAATGTGCAATATGTCTTTGGCCCTCATTATATTTACTTTAGGAAATATGTGTGGGTTTTGAAGATACTGAATTATTCAAAAGTAAACACTTATGGAAGGCAATTGACAGAACTCTGAGCAGTTGCAGAAAATCTCTGGCAAAGCTGCTGTGACTGAATGCTGGTTTTCAGTACCACTGTAGTCTGGAATTAGAAGTAGCTATTGTGTTGGCCAGCATCTACAAAAATAAAATGACTACTTAGCCTTGCAAATCTTCAAAAATTTTAGTGACTTCTTTTGTAATCTTCTCTGTTCCCTTTGGGCAAAGCACAGTAGCTGATGTATTCAAATGTGAAATTATTTTATGTTTTTCCTGTAGGTAGGAGATAGCTTATCTCTTCATGCAGGGATCTTTAATTTTCATTATGGCCTTATAATAATTGTAACTTAGTAGCCTATTAGAAAAATTAGAATAATGGAGAAATAGTCCTGCTTTTTGTATTTTGTTTTTTCTTGAGTAAGGTCTGAAACACGATTCCTACTCCCCACTTGTCCTTAAAGCATGATTTCAGATGGTGTGTCACAGATTGCACCAAGACAGTCCTGATCTCTTTCCTGAAGTTGAATGCAGCAAGTGGTGCCAAGAAGAAAAAGAGAGATGGGAGCATGTGGCAGCACTGCATGAGCCAATGATGCCACTTTTGATGCCTGCTGAGATGTTACCAACTTTTCTGGACAGGGGACATAAGATTGTTCAAGACTGGAGTCCAGTAGCAAAGATGCACTTGATAGGGGCAGGGATTGGTCAGGAATATAATAAAATATAATATTGTGATTAAAATCAAAGGAATTCCTGATGTTGATGTTGCATGTTTCATGAACCAATGGGTTTTTCTTAGTGGGAGTTGCTGACCTGGGGTTATATCCTGCAAATATACCAATGAGCAGTTCAATATTGAGTTAATGGTACTATTAATAGCTGTAATGACATCTTGCACAGGCATTTGTTGTGGTGATGGTGTAAACAGTGGGATCTGAGGCAGTTTTGCTTCTAAGCTTTTGGTGTTTCTGTGATGAAGCCCTAGAACACCTCTAACATCATGTCAGTATAGAAAATAGGAAAACTGCTTCTCTCTTCTCTTGTCCCTGATTCTCCATTGCCAGGAAAGAAGCTGCAGGAGGCTGCTTGAGAGATGGAGGCCATGTTGTCCCCCTTTGAGCATAGAAAAATGCTTAGCTGAGGAATCAGTCTTTCTTCACTGTTGCTGCTTCTTACCCTCTTTTAGCACTGTGGTGCTGCAGTCTGGGTCCTTATTTCAAGGCAGGTGGTGTTATTTTGGATGTTGCCCTCCCCTATTTGGGCACTATTGATCGAACACTCGGGTTCTTTTCTAAGCAAAAGGGAAATTCATTGTTTGGGATTTAGTAAATAGGATACATTAGTAGGTTGCAGCTTGTGGCCCTTAGACTCATTAGAGTATGGTTGTGCCAGCTTTTCTGTTAAAGTAGCATCTAAATTGCAGAACTAGCTTTTGTAGAAGAAACTGTATATTTGCTTTCCTTTCTTCAACTTGCATGAAATAGGTCAGAAATGGGTATTTACTGATGGTGTTTTGAATTAATATTTTATTTAAGTGTAGTGCAGAAGCTTAAATACATTATTAACTTCAGGGAATTTTTGGTACTAGTTGTACAAAGAGTTGCCTAGTGAATTAAATTTGTATTTTGATTTCACTTATGCATCCTATAGAAAACTTTTTCTTGACTGCAGTAGTAGGGGAGTAATGGCATTGCTGGTAAAGTTTTTTATGCATGTTATGATTATGGGCTTATATATGGAGATGGATTATTTGGAGCTGTCAGTGTTCTGTTTGATTATATACTCTTGTAATTTTTAGTCATTTGATTTTGTACATATTTCACTCACCTAATTTTCCTGAATCCAAGTTCTCTAGGGAAATCCCAAATATGTGAATTATAATCAAATGCTTATAAGCAGATGAACAAACAGACAAACCACAGCTACTCTCTGAATCCTGTCATTACCTCTGATCCTGATTTCAACTCTGCCCAAAGTGTTAGATTTGTTTTTTGAGAAAACGCAGTTTGAGTAATATATCAAGCATGTCTTTATAGTCAGTGCTGTTTTAGTCCTTTTTCTCAGTAACTGTGCCTGTACAGTACTGCAGTAATTAGTTGAATTCTTTTTGTCTGTGGTTATCCATTGAATGATTTTTTTTTTTCCCCTGTTGTGCTGAGCACAACAGCCACCCCACCTTGTCTGTGAGATTTGACATAGGGAGTCACGGCATCTTAGTGGCACTGTCTTGTGGATCATGGATCTAGGAGGGGTCTGGGATCTGACCCTGAACTAGCTGTGAAATAGCAAGGAAACTGTCTGAGTGTGTTTTGAGGTGGAACAAGCTCGTGTTCATAATCCAGCTGATGAGGACTAAGATGAAGCTCCTGCAGAAGATATTGCTTCCACTGCATCTGTGGAGAGATGTTGATTTAACTGGTGACTTACCAGATTTTCACAGTGATTTTTGAGCTTCAGACTGTAAGATCATATTATGTCAGGATACATCACGGTACAGAATTTGGGGAATATTAAGAAAACAAGCTTCAGTTGTTGTCACCCAATTGCCTGGAGATGGGTTTTCTTATGACAGAAGTATGCTTGTGAACATGTGAGTCTCAAGGCAGGCACTTTTACATTAGTGTATGTGCAGTAAAATAGTCAGGTACCTTATGTGGTTAGTATATACTGTCTGATACTTAAATAATCATTGCATTTAGTTCACATTGCTGTGACAGAGATAGTCTTCTGATAACTTGCCTCTTTTTAAAACATAACAAGATAAATACAGGCTTCAATTTTATTCAAATATGGAAAAAACATTTGTTAAGAGGTTTTTAAAATGCAACTTGGAAAAAGATATTTATCAGTATTGTTTTTTACATTTCACTTATTCCTGGCTTCTACCAATTAAAAAAAAGGAAGAAATCCAAAGCAGCAACCAGAAGTTCTGCAGTCTGACTATATGCTGTTATCCTAGCAGAAAATTTCCTTTAGTGACCCAAAATGCTGTTCATCCCAACCATCTGCAGTGCTGTTACCAGCTTTATTTGGGCTATGCATTATAGGTCAATGTGGTTGAAGTGAGTGGGAGTCTGGAGTGTTGCAGAGAAATACAGTACAGTGCATCTAATCTGTGCCTAGTGCCTGTGCAGTCCTGAATTACCTAGTTGTTCTATGTTCCTGTCCAGAGAGAAGTTGTGACTGTCTAGGGATTTAACAAGACCAAGTCTCTGCTCTGTAAGGCCGGGGACAAGTCTCTTCTGTGGGCACATGCTAGGGATACTGGTTAAAGCATCCCACTTAAGAAAAAAAAAAAATAGAAAAACCTAACCCTTTCCTAGTCCTAGGCAGAGTCTGTGACCAGCTGTGATACATGTTACATTCCTGTTGAAGCAGGGAATTGATGTGTCAACACTAAAGCTTCTGGTTTTTCCAAACCCAGAAGCTGTTCTTGAGTTAATAGGATTTGAAGGGTTGCTGTGGAGGCTGATAATTCTAAGATTATATCTGCTAACTGGATATTAGATTTGAGGGTGTACAAATGCCCTGATGCCGGTGTGTGTGCCAACATAGCTTAGAGTTTTGTGCTCTAATCCATGGTGATACTGAATCATAAAATGATCTTTTGCTGAGGATTACAAATGACTGCAGAACTTCTTTAAATCATGAAAGGAAGTAAGATCCACAGAATAACTGGGTGCCAAAAAGGACTTGTGGTTTCACCCCAGGCAGCAGGCAAGCCCCACACAGCCACTTGCTCACTCCCCACCAGCAGGACTGGGGAGAGAATCAGAAGGGTAAAACCTAGAAAACTCGTGGGCTGAGATAAATACAGTTTAATAGGGAAAGCAAAAGCCACACAAACAAAGTGAAACAATGAATGAATTCACTGCTTCCCATGGGCAGGCAGGTGTTCAGCCATCCCCAGGAGAGCAGCGCTCCATCACACCTAACAGTGAGTTGGGAAGACAAATGCCATCATGTCCCCCCAACTTTACATACTGAGCATGATGTCACATGGTCTGGAACATCCCTTTGCTCAGCTGGGGTCACCTGTCCTGGCTGTGTCTGCTCCCAGTCTTGCACACACCCCTAGTCTGCTCTCCAGTGTGGCAGTACCAAAAGCAGAAAAGGCCTTGGCTCTGTGTGAGCGCAGCTTAGCAATAATAACAAAAACATCTCTATGTTATCAGCCTTGTGTTTAGCACAAATCTAAAACATAGCCCCTGCCAGCCTCTTAAGAATTTGACTTTAGCCCAGTCAAAACCAGCACACATGCATTTAATGATTTTTCACGTCAAAACTGAAACCCTCTTTTGTCTGCCATTGTTGGCATGGCAGCTGTAACAGAATGTTTTTAGTATAGGACTGGTAACATATTTAATAATTCCAGGATACTCCAGACTTAAAAATCAAGAAAACATTTGAGAAGTCTCATTTCTGCAAGAGAATAAGCTTTTCTCCCCATTAATTTATTTGTTTTAGTTTGCACGGTTATCTTTTAGAAGATTTATGTAACACTGTTGCTAGGCACCACTGCTTTGATTACCATGGGGCGCTGGTGCAATGGGTCCTTTGTTAGGTGGGAGAGATGGTTGCACTTGCCTTGCTCCCTGCAGCAGCACTTAGCCCCAGTTACTTCTGAGAGGGGTTTGTTTGTTAGTTACCCTCCTTGCTGAGCCAGAGTGGGTACAGCTTGGATAGTGGAAGCACAGAGACCAAGGTGACCTCTCACTCAAGAAGTGACAGCGCATGCCCCATGTTGTGATTTATTAACTCTGCTGTTATTTACAGAGCTGACAGTCCCTGAGATGGAGAAAACCTCTGTTTGAGGGGCTAAATGACCCTCTTACATTTGTATTTTAAGTCATTGTCCTTGGTAAAATGATTGAATAGAAAATATGATGATGCACAGTAATGAGGCTAAATCACAGACTGGCCTTTAAATTGCCAGGTCTGTGTTGTTCTTTTTGACAGCCTGATCACCATTTCTGCATTAAGCTTAGTTTGAACAAGGTACTCTCTGCTTTTCAGTGAGATTTATAGAGTGAGCTTTTAAAGACAGATATTCATATATCTGAATAGTTTTAAAGCTAAGAGCAACATCATGTCCAGAAGATGTTGATATGGTAAATAATAAAGAGAAGAATGGCACATGACTGTCACAGGGGAAATTTAAACATGTAAATGAGCATTTCATATGAGACAGATATAATTTACTTAAACACTGGCCAGAATTTGGGGGAGCTGTTTCAGACAAAACATAGATGACTGCAGTTGTTAAAGAACCACGTTTAGCTTGGTTTGTTAAGGCACTGATTTTGTGCCAGTAATTGTGTATGTGCCCATGTAGGTAGTTTCCTCATGTGTAGCTTGAGACAAGGAAACTGGTTTTCCTACATATAACTTGGTTGCAGTGTTTCACAGGTGCTAGGTTTAGGAAAATGAGTGGTCTTCCCAGAGAGGAAGGTATCCTGATGCTGACTAGAACTGTATTATTATTATTAGGTATCAGAAAACCCATATTAGAGAAATTATTAATGCCTCAATCTCAGAATTCACATCTTGCTTCATACCAAATAAACTTTGTTATAAAATACAAAGTCATACGGAGACTTGTTAGCCCCAGTACTTCAGGACCTTCTTTTCTTTTCAAAGAAAAAGGTGTGAGTTGGTTGGTGCCTGTGAGAAACAAATTCAGACTACTCTGGTAGTGTGTTTGGGTTCCTGGTGATAGAAGTAAGGGCACTAAATAAGTGACATGAAAACTAGTTCAGCTGCAAGACTGAAGGGTTGGAGAGAAAAGGTTGCTTGGTTTTCATGAGGTATTTGGAAAATTGGTCTTATTTTTCAGAGAAAGACAAGGTTATTCATTTTGTTCTGTATGGGAAGTTTTGATAATTTTGTCAGAGGAGTGTTTTGTTTTGAGGTGTTTGTCTCGAAGAAAATGCCTGGATTCACAAAAATAGTAGAGGAGAAGGAAGTGATAATAGCTTTTTAATGCAACTTCTTAATGGCTGCAGCATCTGCATGGGTACAGGAAGCCTGTGTTTCATTTCCTTTACTGCCTGATGTACACCCTCCTCACTCAGGGAAAGTCCTGAGCATTATATCCCAGAACATACTTGTTCCTGACTGTGTTCCTGATAGATGTTTTTCAATAACAGTGGGAACTGGCTACCAAATGCCCTGGCAGCCAAGGTATTCCATCTTTTTCTGTGTCTCTGGGAATAACTGAGATATATCTCAAAGCTCTGTGGGCTGTGGTATGGAAACTGCTGGTGTTCAAAACAAGTAAAGAACAGATCATTTAGCTTTCAGCTCAGCTCCTCTGCTTTGCAGGAACATTGGAAGTTAAATTTTTGACAATAGCATTTCATGAGTGACTTGAAATGCCATCTTAGTCCTTTGAAATGTATCCAGAAAGATGTGGAGGTATTTACTATCTGATAGAAGCATAGATGAATTTAACTTCTAAGTGCTTAAAACTCTATTTTTTTTTTTTTAATGAAGCAAAACTATTACTGTAGGAGGTCTGTGTAGTTGAATCTAGGACACATTTGTGGGATGCATGGTGAAAAGATTTTCCCTATAAGGAAAGGAGTTAGAATTAGGCATTTTCCCAGTTTTTATTCTTAGTTTTCCCTTCTTCAGATTCTTCAGTTTGAAGAAATTTTGGCCAACCCTTCCTACCGAGAGCACTTCCGGATCTACATGGAGAGGATGGACAAGATGGCTTTGATCGGCTTCTGGGAGTCTGTGGAGAACCTGAAGAATGCTAACAAGGTGGAGGAAGCTGCAAGCCTATATGGCTTTGTACATTGATGATGCTGTTTGTCGTGGTCTTGATGTTAGGAAATGTCTTTAAGTTTTTGAAATATCAATAGCATAGGATGGGTTCTAAGCCATTTGGGTTTTTTTAACTGCTTCATGTCAATATTTGAAGATAATATTGCAATTACAATTTGTGGGCTGTTGTGATGATGATTTATTGTTGGTTGCTGTAACAACATCTGTTAAAAGGAATACTTGATATGCAGAAGGAGTAGAATTATTTCCCTCTCCACCAGACAAAAAACTTGCAGGCTTTTGTTGTACTAGTTCACATGAAACGTAGAAGCACATTCCAACTGGATAGTCTGTACATAAGATTCTCATCTTGCCAATTACAGGTAGCCCATTCAATTGAAAATAATGAAATTGTGTGTATATATGTTCTTAAAATCTTTCTGGAAGAGACGTGTTGCTTTAAAAGGCCTTTCCCTAGTCTCTAGCAGCTAAGTTTCTCCAGGAGTACCACACTGCTGATAGAGAGAAGAAACAATGCTATGTTGTAATTTTGGCTAAAATAAAGTAGGAATTAGAACCCTGAAACAAGGATAAGGAATATCACTTAAGTTGCAACAAGCACCCTGGAGCAGTGGTGCAGAGGAAGAATTTGTAGAGGATAAATTTGCTATTTGTGACCAGTGTGGTGGATTTCTGGGAGAAGCAATTAAACTTTCAGGATTCATGCTAGCATGAAATACAGATTTGATTATTGATTATCAGTTAAATTTTTGTTTACTGTAATTTTATTGCTCTTATTCCAATCAATTGGAAAACATAAAGCATCTTTTAAACAGAGAGATAAACTGTAGAGTATGAGTAGTGAACCATTAATACAATCTGAAGAAATGACTACCAACCAACTCAAGCTAGAAAGTGTTGACAAAAATGGTTTGTCAGGCACTGTGAAGAGAGTTCTGTAAATCAGTTTTGATTTGCAAACTGCTTGTGATTGGAAAAGGTACTATAAATGATTTTATGACCTCTTAGCTGTGAATTTTTTGTCTTCCTGTTCAAAACAATATGTATGTACCTATGGATATGGATATATCTGCCACTACAGGGGCAGCTCACACAAAGGTAGTGTTCTGCAGCCATGTGGCTGTAGTGTTGTCAGATGAGGCAGGTAAGAACATTGTGCCATTCTGAGGGAGTGGATAAACCCTTTCTAATTCTGTCCAGTTTAGGGAGATGGTAATTTAGGGAGCTGATTATGGGCTCTGCTGCATTACTTTCTCTCTTTCCTGTTTGTTAATGCAAGGTTTAATCCTGTGCACTTTACTGTGCTCTATAAAAAATACCCAGCCTCCTGTACTGATAAATGTCTTTTCAAATGTGCTTTTTTTCCTCTCTTGCATCTTTTTTTTTTCCTTTTCCTCTGCAAATTAATGAAAATCATGTATAAAGTGAATTGATTCTATTCATCAGAAGACAGGAGAGCTGATTCAGCTGAGCTTTCCCATCTGAATTTAAAAGGGTGACCACACTGTTGCTCTAGCACTTTTCTTCCTTTTAATGCCAGCTTTTGGAACATGGATTTAAAGGAGTGGATGCAGAAGCTCTGGCAATTGTAGGGCACAGCTGTTTCTTCACTTAACAAATATCCATACTTAACTTGTAAAATGGATTGCTTAGCAGAGGTGCACAGGCAGGCAGCATGCTTGATTTCAGTAAGAGATTTACAGATGTCTTCTCATACATTTGGATAGGAAATTAGCTTGATTATCCTTCAAATTGTGCATCTGGGTCCTGAGTCATCTTGATATTTTCAATATCTTTTCATTTTTCTTTTCTCCCTCCCTCTCCATTGCTTCCTAGGCTGAAATACCTCAACTGGTGAGTGAAATTTACCAGAATTTTTTTGTGGAAAGCAGAGAAATACCTGTGGAAAAATCCCTTTATAAGGAAATACAGCAAAGTCTTGTGGGAAATAAAGGCATTGAAGTATTCTACAGAATTCAGGCAGATGTTTATGAAACTCTAAAGGACAGATACTACCCTTCATTCATTGTCAGTGATTTATATGAGAGATCAGTCAAGCAGGAGGAAGAAAGAAGTTCTGCTCAGCTAACTCCTGAGGACAAAGATGAAGTGGTGAGTCACACAGACAATTTCTTTCACTGTTATTTAAAGTGATCTGAGAGACTGTCCTGAGAAAAGAATGTTGTAGCATCTTCTGTCCTTCGGCTTTGGACTAATCTTCTTTATTGTATGCATTTATTTATAAATGTCATCACTCTTGTAGTTTCATCTGGTTAAACTTGTTTGTTTACATGCTCTTTGAAATAAAAGGGTACAAAATGATAGACTACTTAAATTTCTCTATAGTTGAAGTAGATGGCTCAGGCTCAGGGGTTCTTAAGCCCTCTGTATTTCACATCTTCTTAGAAACAGAGAGTGCAAAACATTTCATGTAAGTTCAGCTGCTCTGCTTTTGAGTGAAAAAATTCTCATTGAAACTCAGTAGGTTTCTGCTCATTGTCCCTGTCTCCCATGCATTTCCTAGTTACTAAATAGATATTAGAGTTGCACAAAAGAGAAGAAAAAGTAATGTAAAATAGAATTATTAGTGGTTTTTATTGAATAAATTAATATACCATGTTGGAAGATAAATCTAGCACAATAGCTCTAAATACTAAAACAGAGCATTCAAAATGTCATAAGCAATAAGCCAATGGCAACTCTTCTTGGGGCAGGTTTTGTCCTTGGGTTGTCTAAATCAGTCATGTCAGGGGAACTGTATTTATCCAAGAACATTTTGACAGGAGCACGTCTCAGACTATTGAGTGCCTCTTTCAGTCAGGCTGCTGCTTCAGGTCAGCATGGATGTCTTCATTTTACAGGTGAACTTGCTCAGAACTCAATGAAATGTAAAAGTTTGTCCAAAACCAGATCTAAATAAATAAGTCCAGAAGTGCTGATCTACATTCTGCTATTTAGAAACAATTTTTCCAGAACCTAACGCTTTTGTATTTACTCCTTAAATGACTTTAATTTCTGTAGGTGAGTTGTTCTAGTCTTTGTAGTTTGTGTATCAGCAAATCTGCAGAGATGAGTAGTTTTAAGTAAATTACTTGCAATATGTGCTTTTAGAGCTTGATGAGTCTTTTCAGTGTGTGTTTTCCCCTGTATTCTTTTCCTTGGTAAAATATTCAAGATGTTTTCTAGTATTCTCACTGCTAACTCAGCTCTGTGTTGATGGTGGTAGGTACTTCAAAGGCTTTGTGTCCTTGTGCTTGCGATCACTGAGGCTTTGCGCAATGGCTCTGAACAGTTTTGTCCAGAGCTTCCTGAAGCATTAAATGCTGTGCTTTCTTATTTCTTCATATGATTTATTCAAAGTCTAACACAGATAATGATTTCTCTGAGGAAACTGACGCGGTACTTTAGGGCTAGCTGTACTGTGTTTGATAACATCTACTGTAGCTGCCAAAAGTTAGATTTGTGACATCAGCATCATCTGTCCTTCCTTTGAGTCCTTGGATATGTATGGACCATATATGAAGTCTGTGTAAGCCGTGAAACCTTAAAGATTAATATATTGCCAAGTCTGCTTATAACATTCAGAGCAGATTTTTTTTCATTTTTAACAAATTAAGTATGAAGTTGTATATACTGCTTGAGTATCTCTTGAATAGAGCAGTTCTAATGATGCCGTGCTATGCTTCAGGGTCTTTAAAGATGAAAACAAATTATAAGAGTCCTTCTGAAACTCCCCATGTTCTTTCAAATTTTGGTGAGAATGCAGTACTGGCTAATAAGTTTGTGGGTTTTTTTCCTCCCCATAGATCGGAAATGACAGCTGAGAAGTTGGATGTTTCTGAAGGGATATGTATTGTTAGGAAGTACAGATTGGTTTGGTTTTTTTTCAGTTTGGGTTTTAGGTCTGTGTCCTCACTTCCTGGGGCACTGTTGGCATTACCTGTGTTCCTTTTCTATAAATTTCACTGCTATAGGCTGAATAGATAAAAAGCCATCTTGTGCACTCAAGGAGATGAGGGCAAAAGGATGAGCCCTGATTAAATGTGAGAAAATCAAGTCACAAGATAGGAATCTACAAAGGGCCAGCCTGCTGGTTCTGCTGCAGGTAGAACAAGCTCTTTCTTCTTCCCAGTCTGTTTCCAGGACAAACCTCCACAAATCTCCATGTATTTCTACTTGGATGAATGTCCCAGGTAGAAATACAGAAGCAGGCAGTGCTGGCATCCAGCACTTCGAGGAGAGGATCTGGTGACTGCATTGGTGCTGCATGTGTCAGATCACTAAAATAAGACTGACGTCTGTGTTCTACATCACTCCCAGAACTGGAAGCCATTATCAGCTTACCAATGGGGGAAGACAGAGCAATCCGTTATGATCTCAGCTTTGAGTGAACTGATTGTTTGTTAAATTTGATATTTTGAATACAGGTTACTTGATCTTGTAATTCTAGCATTTCTTTTTGATAAACCTAGTGAAAACCTTCAGCAATGGTTTTTGCTTTAAGTGTCTGAAAAGTTAGTGACAGAGAAATCATGTAGCCCACCTCTGGGAGCACAGCCTCATTGTTTTGTAATTGATTGCTACCATTGAACTTCATGTGAAAAGTCTTCTAATTCTTCTATGCTGAAAATAGCATTCTTGATTCTTTCTTTACCTCTGTGCTTCCCAACAAGCATAAGGTTTGGGGTTATTTATAGTTCTTTACATTAAATATTTTTGGGTTTTAAATAAAACCCAGTATTGTTAATTATTATTATTTGTGTTACTGTAGTGCCAGAAGACAACATTCTGAGCTGAGGTCTGTACTCATGCTTGGAGGCAAGTTTCTGACCTTAGGAGTTCATAGTCCATGCAGAATAGACAGAAAAAAGGACAGGGCATAGAGCTAATGGGTTTTTACTCAGCCACATAGCAGGCAAAGGCAGAGCTAGAAAAGGGCATGGATTTCTCAACCTAGAACTCTTGACTTCTGCATTATGTTTGAGGATCATGCTAAGGAGATTAGTTATTATTGCTACTGTTATCTCTTCTCAGACTTTCTTAAATAAGATATAAGATACTATGGAATTTACAACAGGATTGTCTCCTCTAAAACTCACAGAATTTACAAAAGTGTGCGAGTTCTTTCTGTTACTTTTTTCTTTATGATATAAAGATACAGTTTACTTAGTTGGAATATCATTAAATAACATAGAACCCATCCTCATGAGAATAGACTCAGCTTCCCTCAGATAAATTTAGATATACTCAGTCACAAACAGACCTCAAAGATCTTTGAACATGGCAGCAGTAAAAGCTGAGTGCTGTTTGCTAGATCTCAAGGTCTTCGTGTCTATTTGGGGAAGTACAGTAAGAAGGGGGAGTTTGAGCTATATGTCAGAAGATGTTAAGGAGAATGTCACTGAAAGGTGTGAAGTTTTCTAATTTTTTGCAGCCTGTAGTACACAAGATGGAAAAAGCTACTGGTTTGTCTGAATGAATATATGAAAATGATTTATGAATTTAGGGTAAGGCATATGTGCTTTTAACACATTTTTATTAACACTTCTAAAAACAGCAGTAAAACTGTGTAGAAAGCTAAAGGACTTGGTTTAGATTGTTCTGCAGGATGACAAATCTGTTTTGTGAAGGTTTGTGGGAGGGGCAGGACTGTTTGTTAGAAATATGGAAATTTTTTGGTTTTGTTCCCTTCTGCCCCATCCTCATTATTTTTCAGCTCAGCACTAAGTATTTACTTTTCTATCTGGCTCTGAATAGTGATCATGACTACTAAGCTATTTTTGCTTTTAAAACAAACTTTAACTCTGCCTCTCATTAACACTAAAGCCTTAGCTTGAAGGTCATTTTTACAGTGTCGCTGCAGTTGCCAAAGAACTGTAGTAGAAATGGTAATGAGGCTTTGTCTGTTGGGGTTTTGGTTTTGTTTTTTACAACAGACTGACATTTCATGTTGGATCTGATGGTTGGAATATCTGTTGTACCTATGTTTTCATCTATATCAAGAAGCAAATGCTAATCCACCTCCTCCCCCTTCCCTGGCAGTGTTCAGGGCTGGGCTGGATGGGGTTCTGACCAGTCCGGTCTAGTGTCCATGCCAGTGGCAGTGAGATGGGAACTGTGTGATGTTTAAGGTCCCTTCCTTAAACATCACACAGTTTTTCCTAAGCCAAAACCATTCTGTCATTCTATGGATAACTGTTTTCTCATATTAATGTAGCCATTACTCCCATCCTCTATTCCTAGAGCCAAGGTTGTGAAGAAGCTACTGAAGAATGCAGCACAAGAATTAATGAACAGGCCAGTTATGCTGTAAATAAACTTCGCCAGCTAAATGATAAGCTTGAGTATAAGAAACAGGCTCTAAATTCCATTTGTAATTCACCAAAACCCGACAAAAAGGTATGTACCTTTTGTGTCTTCAGTTCTTTTTTCTTTTTATTTTTTAATTTTTGGATAAATGTTTGTGTATTATCCAGTTGTCACATTTTGTATGGGTCAGATGCTTATTTCAGTCAATTTGTTAAACTGAAGGTGAAATCAGTACTTAGTTTTAATTGTTTTTTCCCCATATCTAAAAGCTATTTTAGCTAAACTTGTGAATGTGCTATATATTGCTTTGTTGCCCATGGAATAAGGATCACTCTCCCGTGCTGCCTTGTGGGTGGCAAGGGGTGTTTGTCCCTTGCCTCCCTGCCCTGCCGCGCTGCCTGGGGGTGCGGATGCGCTGCTCCTGTGCCCTCTGCTGCCGCTCGGGGCACAGCACCAGCTCCGACGGACTTCCTGGAGCTGAGGGATAAAAACCCAAACCTTTAGGAGGGACCGATTCCTTTATTAGGGGCTAGGAAAAAGCACGCTGTCATCAAAGAGAAAATTCAGAGCGATGTGAGACTTTAATCTCTGGACCAGGGCAAATAATATATATCTTTTTCTGTTTCCAAAGTGAAACAGGTAAGCAATCTGAGAATATACTCAGGAGAAGCAAGGGACTTGCACATGGCTTGGGCCAACTTTGTTGATTTTATATGCCTGTTGTTCAGATGCAGTTGGGCCTGTCTTGTCAGGTGTAATGGGATTTGGTTGCAGATGGTAGATGGTGGGTAAGATGAGCCAAGGTGTTTTCCTAAAATCCTGCTGCTAACAATGACAAAAATGTACCTGGGTATTAATCATTGCTCAGAACCTGGCTGGCTCCTTGATACATTTTTCCTTCACTCAGGAAGTGAAGTGAGTGCTGAGATGCTTGTCTGAATAGGAGTTGACACCCCAACTCTGGGCACAGGTACTTCCAGGAGAAAGATGTGGACACTAGAGTTTGGGGCCACCCTGGCTAGCTTCATTCCCTCTGTCCCTTCCACATCTTCCTTCTGCCAGAGGGTACTGCAGACAACTGAAAACGTTTGCAGCTGTTCTGGGGTGTCCCCCTTCCAACGCAAGCCCTTCTATGATTCTATATAACTAAACCTTTATATAGTGTTCCATTCACATGAATGTTCTATGTTCTTCTTGCATTCTTGAAACCATAATAGCTATATTCTTTCTGTACTTAGGCTCTTGGGGAGGAGGGGATTGTACCCCTACTGAAGTAGTGGGTTTTTCCCTGTATGTTTTTGTTTCTAAAATATACTTGGTCTTGGAAAATAGCTGCATCTCTGAAACAGAATAGTAAAATGGATCCAGTATTATTGTAAGGTCTCAGTATTCAGTTTGTAAATGTAACAGCTGTTTATTAATGATAAAGTCTTACCAGTTGTTCTGTATTTATTGAATGTTCTGGATGCCACTGGACTCAAAGTAAGGTGATTGCACAGAAGCCTCAGCATTGATAGCAAATAAGAAAAATACTAAATTAGTAAAATATTAAATACCTCAGTGAAGGTGAGGTATTTGCTAGAAAATTGTTATATAGCTGTCACATAGATACTGTTTTACATCTGACATGAGACAAATTCTGAACGAGACAGAATTCCTGTAGCTCTGTAGAATGCACCACTTGTGGTGTAAGTGACAGAACTGATAAATTTGGCTAAGTGGTATATCATATTTAAAAATGGAAAAGTGTCATCTGCTTTTACTGTGTTTCTAATGTCACATCTTAGGTATATTTCCACCTTCTCTTGTCATACTGTCTCCTGGCAGGATGTTTGCCTACTTTTTGTGCTTTCCACAGTAACAAATCCTTGCCTTCTCAAAACTAGAATGAAGTAAGTCATAACTTTGAGTGGTTTCTAACATAGTTAATTCCTAGAAATGCAATCTATTCCCAGATCCGTCAGTCACATGATGTGTACCTGAAAATTATAAAGATGTCTTCAGTAAGGTATATTTCATTACTGTCAATTTCAAGTTCTTATAAAACATACTGTGTGTAATATATAATCATATCTCAAGTGTCTTTTATGCTGGTAGTGTGATAGTAGTTGCACTTCTAACTTGTTTTTTATTTTAGTGTGAGGGTTGGGGTTGGCCTTTAAGATTGCTGTGTGCTCTAGACGTTGGAGGCATCATCAATTCCCTCACATATGTTTGGTTTTTTTGTTTTTTTTTTTGTTTGTTTGGTTTGGTTTGGTTTGGTTTTAGATCCACAGGAATTGTTCTCCCTTTCTCCCTCTGCTTTTGCTCCCTTTTTCTTCTTTTGGAACAGTGTCCCTAAAGACATAAAGCTTGTGTGCTGCACAAGCTTTCTCCTACCAATTATAATGAATAAACTTTTCTCTGCAGATTGTTTCTAAGCTGAAGGATGAAATTACTCTGATGGAGAGAGAGCACAGTGACCTTCAGCTGCACATTGCAAGAACAGACTGGTGGTGTGAGAACCTTGGCATGTGGAAAGCCTTCATTGTCTCAGGAGAGGTAGGGGATTTTTTTCTGCCTTTTGATCTTCTGGGTCTATTCAAACTTACATGAAAAGCAGAAGAAAAATGTGTAGATACTTTCCTTATACCTATACTAGAAATTTACTTGTGGGGGAAAGAACCCTAACCTCTAACTCCTCTTCTGTTTCCCCAGTGGCTACTATGATGCATACACAGAATTTCTGTTCCTCAGACACTGTTGTAATGGAGTTATAAAAATCACCTGCATGTACATAAACAAGTTTTGGCACTGGGTAATTTGCTGTCTTAGGGGCACTGTTTTTCATGAGAGCTGTGTCTTCCTGTATTACCATGCTATTGCACTTGGGTGCAGCTGTGTCTCTGCTATGTCTCAAAGATGCAGTGCTTATACTTTTTGGGTTTTGTATTATTGTATTTAATGGCTGTACAGTTTCAAGGGGCTTGAATGCCCAGAAAGAAAGTGCTTTATATCTGTAAGTTGAAGAAGTTGTTACTTTTTTTTTGTCTTGTTTTGCTGTTCCATTTGGGCATAGGCAGACAATTGTAGAATGCATGCAAAAAACTGTGATGAAAGCAAAAAGTATTACCATCTTCTGGCTCTCTAGTAACACTTATCATGAAAGGATCTCAGTGAATTATGTAGTAAATGTAGGCTGACATACATAAGTAATCTTCTTGACAGTATCAGTGCGAAGATCTAAAGATTAATTGGGTGTCTGCTGCCTTCCCTTTGTATGCCACTAAGAAAATGTTCCTGAAAAGAATACAAATAATTTTCTTGAGGTAACTCTTTGTTGGAGGAAAAAAGTGTGTGCTGTGGAGTTTATTTGGTTGTGTCTTAAGCTCTTGCAAGCCAGTGATAGGTCTGTCAACAGTTAAAGTCATTGTAAAAGACATAAATCCAACAGGTCAAAAAATTGTAAGGTGCCAGTTTTAAAACCAAATTTTCCATGTCGAAACGTCTAGATTTGGTTTGGTTTTAATGCTGTTTGCAGGTGACACTATTGAGAACTGAAAAGTTCTTGAATTGTCTTCTTAAGAGTTATTTGTAGCTTTTGAAGCCTAGTCTTAAAATCTGGCAAATTCTGTGTGCAGAATGGCAGTTTTCTGCACAAATGCAGCCACATGCAACTGTCCAGAGTCTCTCATTACCAGAGGAGAAGGTGGTTTGGCTAAATTAGAGAGAGGTTGGAAGAGGCTTTTAATTGCTTGCTGCCTTAGCTATAACTTATGAGTAGTACTGGATTAGGCAATTAAATATAGGCTTGCATAAATTGTGCTGTTTGCAACTCCATGCTTCAAAGGGTAGGCTGGAGAAAACATGGGTGTTGTAGTTATCTTTGTTAGTTAACTGCTTGGGAATATTCTAGCTGCAGTGAGTGGTTTCAGGGGGCATGAGTAGATGACATAGTCTTTCTATCTGCAAAATACATTGTTGCCAATCCTAGAATATAGCTCTGTGATTTTAGAGAGAGAAAATATTGGCCCTATTGTTTAGCAGACAGGTTTAGTAAAAGTAATTTTTGCTATAGATCTTGAGCTGAAAGAGTAATAGCCAGTCATTGAGCTTTTAAATTGGTCTACTAAATCAGTTAACAGAGAATGCACAAAAGAAAACAATTACTTAAGTCTTGGGGAAAAAAACATGTCCAAACTCTTGTTTGTAATCTCTTAGCTTGAATCTTTCAGTCTTTACAGTTTTGAGTAATATAAAAAAAAAAATATATATATATATATATATCAGTGTAAATAATATAATCTCTAGGTGTCTTTTGGTAGCTCATATTTCTGATAAAACTTTGGAAACTCAGTGTTTTGGCTGGCTGATAGAGGTTGAAAAATAGAGTAGGAACATGCTGAATGAAGGGGCCTATGATAACAACTTGTGTAATTCTGAGTGTCTCTTCCCCATTACAGGTATATAACTTAGAGCTAAATAGCCTAACTCTATCTGCTTGCTTTAATGGTTTTGGCCTTGTATAATTTAATATTTTAACAGACATTGTCTCCCTTGTCCAAAGAATGACTGTTTCAGAGCATAACATCTTTTAAAAAAATCTATTGCTTTCAGAAAGAATTGAGTTTCTAGATCTGAAAAAGGTGAAGAAAATGGCATGTTTCTTGTGGTTACCACACTACACACCTGGACAAGAGGTGGCTGAAAAGCTGCTCAGTGGACAGGAGCTTGGGGCTGCTGGTTGACAGCTGTCTGAACATAAGCCAGCAGTGTGCCCAGGTGGTCAAGGAGACCAAATGCATCCTGGCCTGTATCAGAAATAGTGTGGCCAGCAGGAACAGGGAAGTGATTTCCCCCCAGTACTCGGCACTGTACAGACAGAACCTAAAAACAGGACTAGAAAAGGGTTAGGAAGGTTGGGAAAAAGCTGGATGGTTTTTTGGGCAGGAGCGTTAGAAACACAGCCTCCACAATGTCGCTGGCATGCGAGGTTTGTGTTCAGCAGGAGCTCTGGGCTGCACCTCTGACCCTTGGAGCACCTCTTGGCTGGAAACAGTAGATATGTTGGTGCCTTGTCAGATGTGCAGCTCATCTTGAGCAGGCTGCAGGTCTGTCAAGGGTAAATACAACCCTTGAACACATTAGGAGGGAGTTTCCACTCAAGATGAGGAAGTGTTAGTCACTGTGCAGGTGCTGGGCTGTGTCCCTTGAGAAGGATGGGTTTGAATGAGGAACTTCTCCCACGAGAAGTGGTTCTGAAAGCACTTTCAAGTTTTGTTTGCTTAACTTAGCAAAAGGGAGAATTAGAGGAATGTGGCTCTCTAGTTGGAATTCATTCATGATAGCAATTGTACGAGGTGGTGCCTGCTAACAGCAGAGAACTAGATCTCCTGGTTTAGAAGACCTCCTAACATTCAATTTTTCTGTTTTCCAGTTTACACATTAATTTGGAAAAATAAATTCGCAAGCATCTAAGTTGATGAAAAATGTTGCATTCCTAAGAAGATCCTGAACATTTTCAGTATTTATATGAGAGTATTTGAGGGTACTTGAAAAAAAAAGCTGTAATGTGTCTACATTTAGTAATTGGAATTTAGAGGATTCTGCACATAGCTTGAAGCAGGAGGACTACATCCTCCTATTTTGAAAATGTGCTTTCAGAGGGATGACTCTCTCCTGACAATCACACTTCAGATGACCTACACATGCAAACCCCTGCCCTGGGAACAAATTTAGCATGGAAAGTTTAGCATGACTCAAATCAGCAATTTCAGCACTCATCTCCCAGTATTGAAAAATGACAGCCAGGAGGTGTTTGTGGGTCACCTACCAACATAGATCCAATCTAGCTCAGGGTAGACAGGGCAGGGACTGTCCCAGACAATCCCAGTTGTTTTGCACCATGTCTCTGTGACCTGCATCTTGGAGGCTGTTCAAGCATCTATTTCTGCAATAGTCTGGCAGGAGATAGGCACTTCTCCAAATAGCTGCACTGAGAACCAGGCACATTTGCAGGCATTCAGGCTGGTGCTTTGCATTCTGTCTGAGTGCTGCTGCAGCTCTTTGACAGAGATTTGTGAAATCTGGGCCTCAGACTTGGCTTCCCAGTGGTCCTTGTGCAGCTTTATGAGGAATGCGTCACAGGGAATATTATCAATGTACAGCTCTGAATAGCTTAAAATATGAAGGTGCATTTCAGCCACATGGCTTTTACGAGGGTGCTGTAGCTGCTTGTCAAATTATTCATCCATGCCATTGTGTTGTCAGCTCTCTACAGGCTTCTCAGAAAAGGTGTCATAATTACATGAATTTTAAAGTTCATTCTTATCCTAATTAGATTACTTAAATACTCTTTTTTTAAAAAAAGCTTTAAAGTTATAACTTTGCTCAAAAAGACTGGGAGTGGCATTTTATGATTACCTTATCATTATTTGCATGTATGTAAAGACAAGCATTCTAGAGGTAAAGACAAGCATTCTAGAATGAAATATTTTATGCATGTCTGTTATTTGTCTTTCATAATCAATCTGGCTGTCTCCTCAAAATAAGTAAACAAAAATTTGCTACCAATAGGACATAAGGATGAAATTCTTATGTCAATTCTTATATTAAATTAAGAGGTCACAGCAACAGTGTGGTCACACTGCTGCCATCATCTTAACAAAAACTAACTTTGCTGTAGTTTTCACATTTGCACAATTTGGTTGATTGCTTCTCCTTTCTCTGGCTGAGGATTGTGATTGGATTTATAAGTATTTTTGTAAAGTTGTGAGTTCCTCACAATAGTGCATGGATGCCACAAACTGTGCAAGGAGAGCAGCTCACGTGAGCAGAGAAATCGCTCCTTAACTGCACCAGCTGTTGCTAGACCCAGCTGCAGAGCTGCTGTGCCTGGTGCAGGGGTGAGCCTCAGCAGAAGCACTGGGAAGGGAGGGTGGAAATAAAGGGAGAACACTCAGGTAAACGCAGGTAGGAGAGATGGAGTATTGATGAGCAATCATAGAGCTACATAGTAGGTACCTTAAAAACTGAAATAATACACTCAGCTGTTTTGAAGAGGACATGTCACGGAAACTTGGCTGCTGGTGGACAGCACTGCAAAACTGTAGGTAAGGTGTAATAGTGGTTAGCTGGAGGACTGGTTCAGGACTGGCACAGCGTTTTGGGTGAAGGTTAGTTCATTAAGGGAATTGCTCCATATGTAGCTTTCAAATCTTAAGAGAAGTGTGGGACTGATGACTGTTTGCAAGCCAGTCACCTGGCAGCTCAAATGTTCCACTGTTTACTTTCAACAGAGATTACCTTCTCTGGTTTTTCTTCCCCCCCAAGGTTTTAGAAGAGAATGGAGAACAAGTGCCCTGTTACTCTGTCATGGTGAGTTTACAAGAAGTTGGTGGAGCTGAAACTAAGAACTGGACTGTTCCCAGGAAGCTTAATGAGTTTCAGAGCCTACACCGCAAACTCAGTGAGGTACGAATCCTGGTTACGGGAGGGAAAAGATAGAAACTGCCAAAATTTGTCAGAATGATAAGAATTTAATGCTACCAGATTTAATGCCAGCCTTTTGGCTTTTGGCCCTTTAGAGCTAGATTTCTATCTGCATATTTCTGGTCTCTGACAGATGATTATAAAACTTGTTTATAATTTTTTCCCTTAATAATGTTTTACTGGACTAACCCCATTTCAAAATGGTATATGCTCTGCACTGCCATACAAAAGCCTGATGTAAGAATTAGGTTTTACGTCTGGCTTCTAGGGAAGTATTAGAAATGACAGCTTTGGGGGAGAGAGAAGGTTGGGATTTTCTTTCACAGTGCTTTAACCTTTCTGTCTGATAAGGAATAGATGAGGGGTGCTGTAAAGGGAAAGGGTTTAGATGTCAGCCCATAATGGGAAAGGGAAGGTGTTTTCTTGAGAGGGGTGTGGAAGTGAGGTGAGAGCAAAAAGGAGTCTTTTCATTTCCATTCTGAACCACCTGTCTTTTTCTCTGCATACATCTTAACTGAGCTCTCCTTTCTCCTACACAGTGTTTTCCATCATTAAAAAAAATTCAGTTGCCTTCTCTCAGCAAGCTGCCCTTCAAATCCATAGACCAGAAATTCATGGAGAAATCCAAGAACCAGCTTAATAACTTTCTGCAGGTAAGAAAGACAAAACCAACAAATATCTAAACAGGAGAATTGAGAATCTGCTGCATCTCTATTGCCTAAAGAAAGCACCTAGAACAATAGGTCACATGTAAGGTTTGACACTATAAATGTCAAAGTTGTCCAAAATGCCTGAAGTTGAGATGAGTTTGACTGATAGTAACCATTCCTCTAGTGGTAATTTAATTTAAACTTCTGTTAATTAAGGAATCATAAATAATGAATCCTTTAATTGCTGCTTTCAGCTAAAACTCTTCACACATTTTTTACAAATGAGACATTGTTATAAAACAGGAAAGTTTTAAAGACTAAAAGCTTTATTCTTACTAGGTCCAGTACTTCAGAAATAGTTTCTTAAAGTATCTGTGAGATAAGGATTTTCTCACACTACCTTTGAGCTGTGATTTAATCAGTTTTATTGGATGCCTCAATACATCTTATTCCTTAACAAGAAATATTTAATTGATGTGTTGCTGTGTTGTGAAGTGTCATTATTTTTGTTTCATAGAAATTACTCTCTGATGAAAGACTCTGCCAGAGTGAAGCACTTTACGCCTTCTTGAGCCCCTCCCCAGAGCACCTCAAAGTTATTGATGTGCAAGGCAAGAAGTCGTCGTTTTCACTCTCCTCATTTCTAGAACGACTTCCTGGTGATTTGTTTTCTCATCAGGAGGTAAGTAGTAGAAAAGCAATCTTCCCAAATTTAATTACTTACCCTAAGTAAGCAGGGAGAGTCATTAGTATTTGAATGGCAGGCAGTGTTTCCAAAGGTCATTCGTAATTTACTGTAAGTGAACAAAGAGTCAGAAGAAAGAGCTGCCTATGAATTTAAAAGATGTTTATTAATAAAACAGGTTTCCTCCTTGTTGGTACATGCATATAGGCAAATGTGTAAGCTATTGCAAATAAACAAATTGCAGTTCATGTGGGATTGTTTATTTTTTCACAGCAGAATTTTCCACTCTTTGAGTTCTGGACATGCATATTTCAGGTTTTGGCAGGTAAAAATAATTCTCCTTCAGGAATATGCTCTTGGCAAGAACAGCTGTGTATCCCTATTTCAGGACAACTTCTGAAGCAGAGCTAATTTTGATGAAAAACTGTTGGCAAATAGTACAGGCTTACTGAGGGAATTTGCAAATGCAGGCAGGAGTCTATGTAGGCAAACCAGTTGGAGAATTTGTTATTAAGCCATAAAACCCCATTGTTTTTCAAAATGCAGTGAATAACAGATGAGTGACTAAAATAGCTCATTGACTAAATTGATCATAATTCCATGGCACTCTGTTCTGTGTTGTTCATGTTCAGATAATACAACATTCAAGGAGATGTTTCTATTCCCCCTTTTAGTTATATGTTATACAAAATTAATTTTTAACAGTTAATTTCTTACATGCTGTAGTTGTCTGGAGCAGATGGGTCTTATGCAGGATACTTTGAGACTGGGGAGCATGTACACTTCTAGGCTTTTAATAAGAAAGGTGGTCTTGGATCTCAGAAATAAGAAAATCCTGTATATTATATATATATGATACCTTTCAAAAGTATGCTCTGGTTGCATCTAGATGCTGAATGCATGTGCCTCATTTCAGAGTAATAAACATAAAGAAAATTTGAGAAACTAGTTTTGCTTTGATAGAAGTACTGGAGTTCAAAAATCCAAAGTGCTTTCACTAAAATCACTGACAGAAGTAGCATAAAAGCATTGAAGTGTGAAGCTATTTGTATTTTGCTATTTAATTGAAAAACATCCTCAAAACAAAGCCTAACTGCATAGATACTGTATTATGGGAGTGTGTAGGAGGAAATAGTTGGGAAATACAGGAGAAGGAAAGAGAATTTTTAATACTAGTGTGTGAAAGGAGAAAGAACAAGTAAACAAAGCAGAAATTATGCAACTGTTATTGCTTCACATTTCTCTTCCCTCTCTTCTCCCTTCTTTCCTTAAGCTTACACAACAGAATACAGATGGTGGGAACTCTTAGACCCTATGAATGAGTATGTCAAACAATTGTCCTAAAGTGAAAGTAATAAAATAAAATGGAAGGAGACAGATTGTGAGGCAGTCTGGGATTAGCTCTGCTGTTTTCTGGTCTCCCATCTTTCATTAAGAGCTCAGTCTTGCCCCACTGATAGACTCTTGGATACTTTCCTAAAGCAGTTAAACTGGGGTTAAATCATTTGGTACAAGGTCATAAATGAAGTTAGTTGTGTTACACCACACATAAAGCTGGTATAATTGCGTTCTTTTTGCAACTGAGTCTTCCTGGTTTAGTTTGTGTTTTGGACTTTGTAGTGTAGAATGCTCTCATTCAGCTCTCTCTTTGCCCTTAATCTCATCTCAGATTTTTCAAATATATGTCAGAGCAATCATATTACCTCTTGAGTGTTGTGTTCAGGATTAGATACTGCAGTAATTCCTTTATATATATAACTCCTTGGACGGGTTAGCTTTAGAACTTATTTTTTTGCTCTCTAGACCAAAACCAAATCAGAGCAAAAATGCAGTTGATATCATCTAGAAAGAAGGGCTTTTAGGTTTATAAATTTACTGGATAGAAAATGCACTGTAGTGTAAGAACTTACAGTTCTTGTTGCATTTTCTAAATGACAGGAGATTCACTGAATAGCAGAAAAATAAATCAGTATTAGGTGATGGAATGATGAGGTCGAAAGGAAGAGATGATTGGTATCTTTTAAAACCAGGCTGAAGAAGAAAATTTGCACATCATTGTGACCATTCCTGATCCAGAGACTGGGGCATTGCACCAGCCTCACTGGAGGTCAGCTCTGCCTCTCTTTAGCTTTGCTCGAAGCATAGGCAGGCAGGGCAAGATCCAGGAAAGCAAAGGGATGTGTTGGCTGCCATGAGTAATGACAGGAGTTGTAGTCCTGATCCTGAAGCAATCTTCATGACAGGGAGAAACAACCTGCTGTCTGCCTATCACTCTTGAACAGATGGTACTGTCAGGATTGAGGTGGGTCAACCCAGTCACCTTCTGGGAGTCTGTCTGAATAGCCCTTCTCCCTTTGGTGCCCTGAGCTTGGGTATCCTCAGGCTCAGGTCACTAAGTATCACAGTTTGTGTTTCTGCCTGCGACTAGTTTTCATTAATGGTGCTTGTCTGTGCAGTGGCCAGTTGCCCTTCCACTGCTGGATTTGGTTCCCAGCTTACTTCAAGGACAACTGGTTAGGGCCTGATTCCACTGAGTGGCTTCAGCTGTGAAGGCACTGTCTGTTCTCCTGGGGAGCCAGCTACCTGCTTCTCCCTGTGCAATAACCAGATTTTCCCCTTTACTCACAGCTGTTTGCATTGCAAAGAGCTCCAGCTGTCTAGCTTCTCATCCTGAATGTTTTTTATGGGTGTTGTGTCAGAGGAGGCTTTGCAATCACAAACACTGTTGAGTGCCATCTCCTGCTTACAGCTCTCACCTGTTTCCTAGCAGTACACTACTCCCACATCACCTGCTTTCCTTCATCCAGCTGGTGTTGATGGGGCAATATAGGTGTAGATTCTGAAAATCTGGGCAGCATTGAGGTGCTGACTGGGGCAAGGCTGCAAGCAGAAGATACAGCAGTGATGATAATTTCAGCAGTGCAGTGTCCTCGTCACTTTAGTCCACTGGGAAGTTTTCAAGATACCTAGCAAGATTCCTGTTTGCCAGATCCTGCCAGCAGCAGATTTTGGCTCTAACACTGTTTTTTGACAGAACTGGCTGTGCTCCTTCCCTGGAGCATAAGGAAGTTACTATCCCCAGTAACTAAATCCATTCTGGAAGAAGGCTGGAGAACTGCACCACACAGCCATGTTGTCCCTCTCTTCCTAGGAAGAAACAGAAGAGGACAGTGACCTGTCGGACTATGGAGAGGAGGTGGATGGCAAGAAGGACTCTCTTGCTGAGCCGTGTTTCATGCTGATTGGAGAGATTTTTGAGCTGCGAGGAAGTAAGATGTAAACCTGGTGAATTACTAATGGAATCTCTTGGCTCTGTAGGGCACTTCATAATTCAGATTTTTGTGCTGTTTCAATAAGTGCAATCTATATTGCACTTAATCATCATTCTTGCAGTCTATACGGCCGGTTTGGGACCAAGCTATTCTTCAGTAGTTCATAACGGCCAGTTTGGGACCAAGATTTCTTCAGTAGTTCATAACTTTGGAGTGAAATTACAATATAAAATGGCAATAAAAATGTAACTGGTAGGGGAGAGCGTTTGCACTTAGTATTTTTAAATTTTTCATGAAAAAAATAGAAAAAAAAGGAAAAAAGGACAATAGTATGCTTTTTGTAAATAGGCTGTTCATTAGATTGTAGGAAACCTTGAAGAAGGAAAGATAGCTTTATTATAGAATATGTTTCTGACAAAGAAATATAATTTTAATATCCATTTTAAGTGAATTACATATGCATTTTAGTTCTGCACTATTATAAAAATTATGCTAGAATTGTGGTATATTTAAATACTGGATTTTTTCTCCTCTTTTATGTAACTGAATGATGATAATAAAGAAGACTATGTTTGTTTCTATTTGAATGTGCAGCCACACATGATGCTTTATAAAATTATTTACAGGGTAGCTATTGCGAAATGTGTCACCTTCCAAAAATGGCAGATGTATCTTCCAAATATAGACTTTATTGTGATGGTGAACAGTATGAAAGAAAGACTTACCAGTAATTACTAGGAAGCACTTACTTTTGTTTCCTTTATTTGTAATGGAAAGCTGACTGCTTGGTTCAAGTGAAAATGTTTTCAGAATTTTAATGGTGCTGCTGTGTGTACTTTATACTAATAGGTATGAAAAGGGTGGGAAATTTGAGGACATTTTTTTTTTTGTAGTAGAAAAAGGGGTTTGAGTAGTTGTATTGCTCAATAAACTTGAAATATTCAATATTCTTACATATAAAAATTTATGGTATAACCTAGAATGCATTTTATATGCATACTTATATAATCTTCAGGACTTAAAAACCATACAGCAAGCAGTACAAGGCATGTGATCAAGAAAAATGAAACCTCCGTACAATTAGTGGAATCTTAGAAAGGGTTATAACAACATGTTTACTGTAGGGGTGGGTTGTTTGGGTTTAGTTTGGTGGGAGGTAGGGGGAGAGTTTTGCACATGATCCTGGGTTCTGTAATATTATTAACTTCTTGGTCACTATTTTTTATAATTTTTCATTGTTCTAGTGTTCAAGTGGGTCAGAAAAACATTAATTGCACTAGTACAAGTCACTTTTGGAAGAACCATCAACAAGTAAGTAGCTGTTGCTTTTACTGAATTTTTATCATCATTCTATTAGAAAAAGGCTGACAGAAGAACTGGTAAAAATAATCTGGACATCCTGTTGGATATGATAATCTACATTTGTTTTCCACAGCTCAATTTACAGCTGTGTTATATTTATTAGAGAAAACAGATATGTAAATTATCTTTATGCTGCTAGGTGAGGCCTGCCTGATGCTGTGAGCATACCTGTCTGTAAACACCCTCATATGGAAAGCTGAATCCCTGGTCAGAAACAAATTTTAGAAGTATTCTGTCAGCACAGCAGGCTGTTCTTTGTCCAATCAGTGACTAAATTTGCACTTGCCAGCATGGCTTTTAAAGCCTCTTACGTACATTACGTAGCAGTAAATTGGACTGGTCTCAGACAGTATCCACTCACTGAGTTTTAAATTGATTGGCTCATTTGTTCATACCCTGCTGATAATTGGAAAATGCCTGAAGGAGGACAGAGAGGCAGAGAATTTGTGAGCATAGCTTGCATGCAAAGTTCCTGTGTAGCTTTTTACATTTAGGTTGACTTTATTCATTTTAAGGGATTTGGCTGTAGGGCAGCAGTACTGACTGGAGCCTGCTCTCTACCTTAGACTCGTGGTGCTGAAGGCTACAGCAAGTGGTGCAGCCACAGGAAGAGGTCTCTTCTGTAATCCCTTCAGTAATGTGCTTTGCTATCTGTGAAGGAACCTACTGTGCCTCTATCAAAACTGTCTATTTTTATCCTAGCAGACACATCTGCAAGCAACTAGTTTGGAGTTTGCTACTCTTAGTGACCTGATTTTCCTGACTTTTCCTGGTGGAGAATTTGTAGTGCCCATCCTTGAAATGTGGTTTTGATGTATATTTCAATGTAGTACTTGTAATTTGAAATGGATGTTTGTGGATTACATTGAAAAGCAGCCTTCTCCAGATCTAAGTGAGGTATCTGGAGTGACCCAGATCCTAGAGCACTCAGAGCTGAAAATGACCTGCTGTTATGCCAATGAAATAACTCAGGTATACTGGCAAAATTACGTGAAAAAGAACATCTCTTCCACTACTTTGAGAAGTAAAAAGAATAAATATGGATAAAACATGAGACTAGCTCTGATGGGCTCCCTTCTACACTTCTTTACAGGCAAATCCGTGACACTGTACACTGGATGTTCAGTGAACCAATGCTTGTTTACTACATTGGTGTGTTTCGAGATGCTTTTTGGCCAAATGGAAAGTTGGCTCCACCACCGAGAGCCAAGAGTGATGAACAAAAGCAGGAGACAAAACAGAGAGCACAGCAAAAACTACTTGAAAACATTCCAGGTGAGATCACTTTGATTCTGCTTAATCATGGATTTAATAACTAATAAGGAAACTGGTTAATCAAATTACTTTCCTGTAGAGTTTTAAATTATGATTATTTGCATAAATAAGGGTGATTTTGGTCTTAGTCTTTGCCTCTCCTGCCTGTCTGGTAAAAGGCCTGGATTCAGATATCATTGGTGGATGCAAAATCAGAATTGCTGTATTTTTGTGCATAATGTTCATCAAGGAATCTCAGTTGATTCTCTCTCTGCTGGTTCTCTGTGAGCAAATATGTGGCTTTGCTACTTGGAATTACTTGCCAAATAGGGAGAGTGGCACCCACCCCAATTACTTCTTCCTCTTATATTTTAGTTGGAGAGAGAGAGAGAGACACATGCTGTCAGTGTTGTGTGTTGTCTATTTCTGATAAGAGGTCTCAGGGCACTGAATGTTAGAGTGACCTGCATCCTGGGCAGAAAAAGATCCTAGATGGAGTGTTTTTTTCAGTGCTTTCCTTTGCCTACCCTTATCTCCCAAGCCTGAGCAGCTGCCTTTTCAGCCAGAATGTTTTTGGGGCACCATTCTGAGATGCTCCATCCTGTCCCACTCACAGGACAGGAAATCCAGTTACATACTTCTGACCTCTCAGAGATCATGTAAACCCAAAGGCACCTAACTGAAGAGAATCAAAATCATTGCCATTAAGACCTGGAAATGCACTTCAGCATAGCTTGAATGCTTTTTCTCTGCTCCATCTGAAGAGAATGAGCTATTTTATGGCTTCACTTAGATATCTCATATACCCCCATGCATTAGGTGGTTTAATCAACTTTTACTGCAAAAAAGGAGTAGGTATGCATATTTGTCTTTTGATGTGTAAACAACCCTTCCATTTACTGCCCGTGTTTTATATTGATCTACTTACCTAAATAGCCTTCCATAGTAGGTTTGTGGTATTGTTTGATTTCCTGTTTGTTTCTGAGCTTGGAGCCATATGTCAGGACATAGCTGAATGCACCTTAGATTAATGATGGAGCACTGAATCACTATTTGTTCTCTAATTTAATCCAAAGTGTAAATAATTGAGTTAGAATTCTCTTAACTGCCTTCTTGTGGCAAGTATTCCCTGTGAAGACTGAGAGTCAATTCAAGTGCTAAATTTGTTTTAAATGTTGTAGAAGTTGTGTCTTTGGCTTAAGGTATATTTAAGTGAAAGGTTTAATGATGTGTGAGATGAGACTTGACTTAGTGAGGTGAACTACTGAAAAGGGATTTGATGTGTTATGTTAGAACACAAAATGTTCTGAGATGCACACACTGTTATCTATTGAGTAACTGGAGAATAAGGGTATCTTTTCAAGCTGTGTTTTTAAAAGGTTGGTGAGGAGGGACTCTGTGTATCTTGTAGCCAAGGACCAATGAAGTGCAGTGGCTTTGTTTCCCCTCCTTTATGGGTCTTTAAGATTGAATTAGATGATCTGGAAGGCCTCTTCCAACCTTTATGATTGTGATTTTGGGTAGTAAAATGATGATTCTGGCTGTAGGCTTTGCCTAGCATGAGTGAAACAACATAAACTGAAGTAATGTTTGTTGCAGATACTCTGCAGAATCTTGTTGGACAACAAAATGCCCGTCATGGTGTAGTGAAAGTGTTCAATGCATTGCAAGAGAGAAAGGCTAATAAGCATCTACTTTATGTGAGTAACCAGAAAAGCATGTATTTAACAATATAATCCTGTAAGTTACTGAGCTCTACTCACTCAGTATTAAAGCCTAGGGGATGTTTTTGCAGATATTTATTTATTGTTAAAATAAATCAGTTGCTCTAGGTTTGATCACTTGACTAAGTTTGAATAACAAAAGACTGTTTAACAGCAGCATTGTTTTTGTCTAAAAGAGATCCTCTACCACATCCTATGTGCCTGACTTCATAAGGTACAAACTAATTTCTTCGTACAGCTTAGAAAAATAACCATATCTTGGAGAATCCTAGAGAAGGAGAACCAGAACTGGCTCATAGTTAGGATATGACAGCCTTTCAGAAGTTCCACTCCTCAACTGTTGGGAATAGTTGGAATATGCAGCTGGATCTAAGTATAACACCTTTCACAGTCAGTCTCTTCTGGCACATTCCAGACAGCAGCCTGTCACACAATGCTGCCCCAGCACCAGAGAGAAGGTGCATGCCCTGGTGCTTCTGATGCTATGAAGTCTTCGACAGAACAGCACCACTTTTTACTGTGTGGGAAATCCCTATCTGAATGGAGCTGCCCTCAACTCTACCTCCTTTCAGCCTTAAGACATTTCCCATGTTATCTGTAGGTCATGTGCTACCTTCTGGATGAAAGAAAAGTAGTTGCACAAATGATGAATGTAATCAAATCCATGTGCTTCTGTTATTTGTGGTTTTCTAAAAATGACGAAGAAACAAGAAATTTCGTTGGCACCTGCATAATTTTAACTCTTTTCTGTTTTCCAGGTTTTGCTGGAACTGCTGCTAACTGAACTGTGTCCTGAGCTGAGAGCTCATTTAGAGCAGCTTAATGCCACTTAGGTTTGAATCTGCACAATTGGACCACTAGAGAAATGTCTATGTTCAAGAATAGACATGAAACTTATTTTCCTCTTTTCCATAGAGGGCTGAGGACTATGATTATTTTTAGCATTTTTCTTTCCTCTTGAGTTTTTTGTGAAGTACAGACTTGAAAAGATCTGATGCTGTTGTAGGGTAGACAAAAAATGCTGTATAGCTGCCAATTTTTATTTAAATTGTTCTATTTGACTACTCCTCTGTTTCAAATATAGATTGAAAAATAAATGTTCATATATGCTGAAAGAAACCAGAAGATATTTTAAACATTTATGGAAAGAAATTCTGCTTATAATGGTAAACTAATGAATGTTGTACAGTTCTAATTTCCTCACTGAGGATCTGAGCATTCCTTTTCTTTTCGTGTATTGAAACAGCCTTGTTGTGCAATACCACATGTAAAGCTATTGTGAAAATTTTATCAATTTTGGTTTTACCAAAGATTTCCTGTAGTTTGAAGCATTTGTAAGCAATAAATATCACAACTGGATTGCAGCTTGATAATGAGGCTGTACTGACAACAGATCAATGGGTTTGACAGCACTAGTTTCATAAGAAGTATCTACATTGCTTTGAAGTCTGTGTCAAAATTATGTATTGTAAACTGGTATGTCCTAACAGAATGCCTGTGTTAAATGTTAGTTCAGAGATTACTGCTTATGAATTGCTTCTATGATGATCAAGTAGACATTTAATTAAACGATTCTGATAACTTCCCTGATATTATTCAGGGCTGTTTTGTTCAAACGCCCCAATTTCAAATAACCTTCAAATCTTTCTCTTATTTTATACAAGGAAAGAAAACTGTCTTCAGTGGTTGGTGGTTTTTTTAAATTTATGTAAAAATATGTACATATGATGTTAATGCACATCTAAATAATTAAACATCATGAAAAATCCCTAGCTGACACTCATTACTGTCTTCTCAATTCAGTACAGTTGTGCTCTTGGAAAAACTACTTGCAGTTATGACTGGCTGTATTGTAAGGTACATACAATCTGTATGATCTATTTAAATCAACATTTTTAGTAACATCTGCCCTTCTGTTCTAACAGTTTCAGAAGAGTTTTCAAGTCGTGGCACAGTACTACGAAGCAAGGCAAATTTTATACTTACAAAGCTTCGTAAGTAAACAGGCATTTAGGAATGTGCAAGCTTACCACAACAATCAGTAAGTTTTCCTAGTGGTTAATCAAAATGTCCATAAAAGATCCAGCTTGACATTGCTCAGACATATAAATACTCCTAGCCAAAAGATTTCCAACTATTTCTTATACAAAGGCGGTGTGAATGGAATATGAAGAATTGAGGAAAACAGGCCTTGTCTTGGGGATGCATATTCAATATTTCCATACTAATGTTGGGGCTTTTTTTCCACAGTTCTGTAAGTAGTGTTTATTAGTTCTGGAAGCTGGTATGGTTTGAACTGTAAAGCTTGGGGTTCTACTGGACAGTTTCCAACTTTGAGTCTCTGCAATCCAAAAGAAATATGTATGAAAATTTTTAAGTAAATCTAGATGCTTTAGAAAGTATGTGGAAGAAAGTATAAGCACCACTAACAAATTAAGCTTTAAAAATGGCCAGGGCCTGTAAGTGGGCTGTGTGTGAAAATGAGACAAGTTTGGGCTCAAGCTTTTCAGAATATTAAAATTTAAATATTATAAATGCAAAAAGGAAACAAACATCTTTCTTTGGTTTTGTTTTGATTCATGTGCTATGTAGCAATATGACATAAAGTAAATACATCTGTCCCAGTGAAATGTCCTTAATAAACCTTTAAGTCTTCAATATGATTTTTAAAAAATCTGTCTCGGCTTATCTGAGTTAAAGAGAACATGAACTTTTTACTTTCTCTTCTAGATAAAATGAATCAGTGAATTGCTTTAAATAATAATTTCTAGAAAGTTGAAAAGCAAGCAGTAAGTGATGAACAGTCTATAATTGCTGGAGATTAATGATGGTTTATTGTAGGAAATATATTTATATACCAGTCACAGTTAAAAGAAACACTAAATTCTCCCAAGATTAGCTGCCAATTCAAGGTGAGAAGCAACAACAGGATCCAGATAGCATGCCTTTAAAACAAAGAATATCAGAGTTCTAGTTTATAGCTACAATAAAATTGTATGTTATCAATATGACAAAGTCTTTAAGTGTCAAAAAAATTAGTCAACTTGCTAAAGTATTGAAGAGTTAACATATTTCGAATTGAATCCTTTTTCTGGTGCCACATAAAAAAAATATTAGTATTTAAAATTAGCATACTGGATTATAGTGTTAGTCTTGGCTTTATTTTTTTAGAAATTCTGTATGTTGGCATGGCATATGCAGCACCACAGTCAGAAAAATAAATCTGCTTACAGACTGGATGAGTTTCACTCACATCCATTGTCTATTTCAGGACCCTTAGCAATGCTCACATTCTTTCCCATCTCTTACAAAACTGCCTTGGTCAGTCAATGGTAGGCCAAAACCAGAACTAAGCAGTCAATTAAAACAAATATGACTTTAGGTAAGGGTAATTGTAAGCATAGTTAGCATGAGAATTTTGCAGGTACAAAAAAATCTGGACACCCCCACAACTATTTTGAAGTTACTGTTTTGGGGAGTTTTCTAGTTTATTTTATGTTGCTTCTCTTTTGCTATTGATTTGGAGACACATGATATATTTCTTTTTCTTGGGCCAGGTCTCAACATGACACCAGTCATAGGAACCATCTCTTTATAGTGAGACATTAGTGACACTCCTAGACCAGTCTCAGGTGTACAGCAAGTGAATAATGAGTGAAAGCTTCTTGCAGTTGTGGCAGTTTTACCACACATTAGAAGACAGGGAAGGGCTATGCTCCTAAAATGCCATGCAACAATTTAATCCTGATGAACCTCTTCAATGCCTTAACTAGGAATGATCGTAATACCACAGTTTATGTTCCTGTCCTGATGGCCTCCTCATCCTCTCCTCTATAACATTTTTCACAGTGGGAGAACAAGGTATTTAAAAATTCTATATTCAGATCACCTGCTCTGCTAAGCCTCCTCTATCAGTGACTTCCCTGAGTAAAGAGCTACAAAATTTGCCTGATAATTTATAATTTCCATAACTCTCCGTTCACTTAGATTGCACCAGGATGGACACCGCAGTATTCTACTTGCAGAAACAAATGGTCACTACGTGCACAGAAACCATAGAGTCCCTGAAGCACAGATGCCAACCTGCTACATTCCCTTCAGCTGGTAAAACTACCTTGCCTTGATGCCTTTAGGCATCACTGATACTACTCAACAGGTTAATCTTCTAGAGGCCATTATTAGTATTTTTCCTCAAGCTCATTTTCCATCAGTCTTACTCCAAATTTAGAACTTTGGAAAAAATGTAACTGATTTTTTTTCCCCCTGTATATATTGAACAGAAAAAGCAGTAGATCCTCAGCTATTATGGAAAATGTAAATCTAAAAATACGCATGAGAACCAGTTACGGCCAATTGAATAAAGGTTGTAATTTTTACAGATGCAAAAGTATAAGGAAAAATAACAATTTTTCAGTTGTGAGAGAATGACAGAAAGCAAATTAATTTGGGATAAAATTATTCAAATTGTTTAGCTAATTTATCTTGCTCTTTGCTGTGATGATTGCCACAGATTTTTTGTTGTTGTTGGTTATACTGCTTGCTTAAACAGTTGGGCAGATAGCATCCTTTCAAGGCTATTTTTAGTAGTTTTCAGTACTAAACTACTACTGATAATTTCTATCAGTCTACATATTCTTGCAAATATTCTTTTAACATAGTGTTGGAGTCCTTAATGAAATAGCAAGTTTAGACTAGACTCAGATCCAAGGTATCACTCCATTTCACGAGATACAAACCAGTCTGTAAGACTTTCTCCACTTACTTTAGAATAGTACGTCTTAGCAGCCTGCTGGTTTTTCTCTATGCCTCGGCCAAGCTGGAGGCATCTAGCCAAGTAGAAAGCAGCCATAGCAGCCCCCTTGGCTAAATAAGTTGGATGACAATCAGTTACCTTGGCTAGCATGTTGATGTCCTCATTTGCTGTAGCCCTGTTGTGGAATTTGGAGCATTACGTTAGATAATGCTTGTTCAAGCAATAAGTAAAGTTGACCATATATGACTTTGACAATGCCTCCTTTCTGCTTACATTATCATCCAGAATAAGCTGAAATTCACATGTATTAGGTATCTTATGAGGATTCTTCTATTTTGTATTTGATTTTAAGTTAGTCTTACTTGAATATTGTGGTATTAAACAGCAAACAAGCGTACAACTTTTGAAGTCACTTTCAGTACAGTTATGTTAGTTATAAAAGGCAACATAGTTTATGCTAATTGTTCCCATTAAATTATTTTATGGAAATTGTATGCGGAAGAAAGACAAAGCTCTTATTCCATGTAGTATTTCATGTAGCTCTTATTTCCTCTTATTTCACTACATGAGCAACCTCATGTACTGGAAAATGTCCCTGCCCACAGCACAGGGGCTGGAGCTCTAGACAGTCTTTAAAGAGCCAACCCAAACCATTCTGTGATTCTATGATTCTAAAATTTTCAGTTCTCACGAGGATATTGGCAAATTGTAGTAATCTGAAAATCTTGGACATATGAGACTCCCTGGTTATAAAACTCTGTCAGGAAAACCACTTATCACTGTTTCAGCTCAATTATTTCCTTTCTTCTGCGTGCTTGCTGTCATCTTAGTTTCAGCATGTTTTTACTAATAATGATTTTAAGCATCAGAGGGACAAAGTGAATGTTGTTTTAATATCAAACTGAAATTATCTAGTATAATCACTATAATATTAGAAAATGCTATACCTAAGTGGGATTTTTTTTTTCTGTTGTCTTAAAACAGATACCCCCAAGCCCCATGTCCTTTCCAGGTACCAAACAGTAATTATATGCTTCTTACACATCATTTTAGCTGTGTCAAAGTCACAGACTTGACAGAAGAAGGAAAAGTGCAAGTAATTTCTGTTTATAGGTACTTCCTGTAAATGAGTGTTTATGAAAGATTGTTCTCAAATGACCCTGTGCACATCAGTGCCTGCTAGATCACCTGGAAGTGTTGGGAATGATATTCTTCAACCTAATTCAGTCCGTTAACAAATACAGTAACACAACTGTTCTTATTTAGCAAGAATGTTAAAATAGAACAACAATAACATATTACCTCTTGTTATTCCTGATACGTAACATATTCCCCTTCCTTTCCAAAAGATAATCTACAGAATGCTAATGCAAATAATGATATCCAATCAAGACAGGCAAAAATTCTATTTCAGCACAGCTGACTTCAAGAACATACCACAGCAATTGGTAAGTACAACTGTGTGGGATAACTGAATTACCTGAAGTGAAGTATTAGTAGGTAATGTAGACTCCAAATATTAGGCAAGGTTACACTGCACATAGTCACATAATGTTTTATGCTTGTATATAATGTAACAAATGTAGTTGCTACGAACATAGAAGGACAAATTTTAGCAGAAAAGATATCAGTGCTTGATATTACTGGCTGAACAGCTGAGATTTTTGCCTCAAGGCGATCTTCAATTCTAATCTTCAATTCTAATTAAGTGTAACTGTTTCAAGTATGGTTTCGGTATTTTATTGCAGAAATTGTCACCTCTGACAGTACTGTGGGATTTCATTGCTATTTTCTGCAATTGCAGCTGATGCTGATGAGGTGCACTCTTTATTTGTATGGACAATCTACCATGCAGCATTGACTGGAGGGGATTCATTCCTAGTGAGACAGGCTAGACCAGACTGAACAGTTATTGCTCCAGTTTGACAGTGCAAAAGAAAGAAAAGCAGCAGTTCAGAGAGAAATAGTCCTTCTCAGCGTGGAGTAGAGCAAACAGCATCCACAGCTGAACTACTGAATTAACCAGAGCTTCTGCTACTCAGTGGCATATAGTGCAGCTTCTGTAACATGGTTAAGTTGTGACATGTTTGCTGCTGTGCAGCAGAAGCTATGTAGACATACCCCAAAAAGCACAAATGTTAGCATGTGCTACTTGTGCAAGCAGTTAATCTATCTGGATCTCATTTCCAGGAAGTCAATAATCTGATTGACAGATTGAACTTCTATCAATACACTGGTAAACTCTGGAGGTTTGTCACAGAAATGTGCTGTTTACATAGAACATTGCGCCAACACTGCTCTTGTCCTACTTGACTAGTTCAAGATACAGAAGTGGAAGTGAAGTGGTTGCACTTGTGCCATGCTCCAACCAACTGGGGAATAAGCCAGGCCAACCAGAGCAGCAACAAATATTCCTTAGCTGCTTCCCAGATGAGGACCAGAAGACAACCACCTCAAGTGTATGTGTACCGTGCACACAGCCTGGGACCAAACAGGAGGAGCTGGAGCTCTGCATCCACTCAAAGTCACACAGCCATAGGAATGACTGAAGCAAGGTGGAACAACTCACATGACATGACAGAATGATTGTGAGGGATGGCCATAGGCTGTTTTGTAAGGACAGAAAAAGAGGAGGAGTCATGTACTGAATTAAGGAGAACCTTGAATGTGGAGAAGTGAACTGTGACAATTCTGGAAGCCTTATTGAATGCCTCTAGGTCAGGATCAGAGGAATCATCTCAAGAGGGATCTTACACTAACCATCTGTTACTGACCTCTGAATCAAGACAGTAAGACCAATGAGATAATACTTGAGTCACTTAAGTAAGCTTTGGGTAACAAAATCTGGATCATGGGTGATTTGAACTACCCAGGCATTAGATGCAAGAAGAATACAGCAACTCCCAGGACATTAGTGAAGTTCCTGGAAGGGAGCAGTGGAGTACTGCTGCCTCAACCAAATGTCAGGTGTGCCAATCAGGAAGGAGACACTGCCTGTCTTGCTACTCCCAAATCAAGAAAATCTACTTTGTAGGACCTCAGTGAGTGATAGCCTTGGGTGCAGTGATTACAATATTGAGGATCTGGGATCCTGTTGAGCACTCTGGGGGTTAATACTAACACAAAGGTTTCAGATTTCAGAATAGCAAACTTCAGCTCACACACAGTTGGGATGGTCTCCTTGGAAGATTCCATGGAGAATAAAGGAGCTAGTGAGTGCTGGGAATTTTTCAAGAATGCTTGGAAGCTCAATGAACTGTTTGTTCATCCCCTCTAAAGGCAAGGAGAGTAGGTAGCAAGAGACCCCCTTGACTTAATTCCAAGTTTCAGAGCCTGCTCAAAACCAAGGGAGAAGCATACCAAAGATGGAAAAGCAGATAAAGGGAAGTGGTGGGTTCACTGACCTTGTACACTTTTAAGATTCAGCTGGACAGGGTGCTGGGCCATTGTGTCTAGACTGTGCTCTTGCCAAGGAAGATTAGACCAGATGATCACTGAGTTGCCTTCCAACCTGGGGGTTCTTTGACATTGTGACTGTAGGGGTTAAAGGGAATGGTGAACCTAGAGGAGATAGTGAGCAAGGAAGGCAGGACTGCATGTGGGCATCTGCTTTGGATTCTTGTTCAAGGCTCTTTTGCTTTATAGGATCAGAAGGAAAAGTTCAATCATACTGAGGAATTGAGAACCTTATAGTATTAATTTCATCATTGGCTATTCTGTTGTTAAAGATGTTTTGAATTCATTATCTCAAACATTTCTTGAGTTTGATAGTCAGGACCATCATCTTATTAATAATTTAAATTATTAAATCTATTTCAGCACAGCTGAAAATAGATTTAATAATCTATTTTCTGTTTTCTAATAATCTTTTTTATATGGTCTTTTCTAATAATCTGTTTTATATGGTCTTGCATGAAGAACCTCAATGAAAAATAGAACAAAAATTACCTTTTGGCTAGTGCAGCAGCTTTTGAGTAAAATTTTCTAGTGTAGTAATATTCCACAAGATGGCCTTGAGCATAGATATTTCCAAGTTCTGTTGCTTCTCTCAAACATTCCAAAGCAGCTTTTCTGTTTTGATGTGTACCTTGTCCATAGAGATACATAATGCCAAGTGCTCCCGTTGATTCCAGATTTCCATTCTCACGTGCTTCTGAATGCCAGAAAAATGCCTAAACAAGAGGCACAAAGTTGGGGTATGTATTTACTTAGCTGATTTTCTTGTATACTGTTTCCATACAAGCTTTTACACCAACCATCCTGTAAGAAGTGCTTATACATAAAAGGAAGAAGAATCCTTGTGAGGCTTTTAAACCTGCTTCATTTAGTCAGAGCTGCCAATCAGTGTTACCTGCTTGAATTATAAAGGTTACCAAAGCTGATAAAAATTTAATCCATTCCATCATTCCTTCTGACACTCTCACTAAAAAAAATTAAAAAAAAAATCTTAGCTAGCAGTGTCAAGTGAGTCAAAATGAGGAATTCTGACTATCTGCTCACACAGGCTTCAATGGATGGATAATGTCTAACTACTCAAAATACAACATTCAGAGTCAAATATACCACTGTATTATTTCTCTGAAATTAAAAATTAGTCATGACTACTTTTTATTTCAAAAGGTAGGGATTTACCTTCTTCATATCTTTTAGAATTGGCATAGAATAAAGCATTCCTAAAGTACTCTGCGCCTTTACACTTGCTTTTGGATTTCCATTGTCTGCAGCAGTAAGCCACAACCTAAGAAAATGGGGACAAGAAAGTTTAAGAAACACACAATCTTATAATTTTTCAGGAAAATCACAGACTGCCCTTACCTTTCAGCCTCTTCAGCTGAATGTTTAACACCACATCCTTCATAATACGCCCTGCCAAGATTGTATGCAGCTGCAAACTTCAAGTGACTTGCTTCTGGGGAATCAGAGTTGAGTATTTTCTTCATGTATCCCACTCCCCTTCCCTAAAATTGAGCCATATAAGTTATTATGTTCAGACTGTGAAGAGGATGAAATATATAACCTGAGAATGCACTTCTGCCAGACAGGTAATTTTTTCCCCTTTGAAGAAAGGCTGAGGCATACTGGCAGGACAGCTTGGGAAACAGCATCATACCAAAGCAGAACTGATCTGTGGTTACTAGACAGCCCCTAAATTTTTGACCCCAGCATATTTTTAGTGTGAAACATTTCGTCATAAACGGTCATTTGATAATATATTACTCTTCTTCACTGACACAATTTTTCCCAAAAACATTACTGTGCTTATGTAAATGAATGTCACATCCTACACCAGTAACATTTTCAATTTCAGAATTCTGAGAACTTTTTAATATTGCATATTGTATCTGAAATCATAAAACAACCTTAACAAGAAGGCAAAGTGATACATACTACACTTTGAAGTCCCTGCAATTAAAACACCTTAGACTCATAAAGGACAAAATCTGATAATGTTGCATAAGCAGGGAGAACATTACATATGAGCAACTGGGCCTCAGAATTACTTTAGAAATAAGATTTACACTGTTGGGATTTAGCATGGATACCCTGTTTAAATATGCTGGAAGTAGTCCTTTATAAAAGGTTTTGCTTTTATTTAGCTTTCATATTGTAATACACAAGAAAGAAAGAAACTTTGTTAAAATGTTTATTTGCAAGTAAACAAATGTGGTAATTATGCAGACATATAGAAAAAATAAATCACCTCTAAACCCCAATCAGAATGTTTTCAGTTCTGCTGACAATGCTGTAAGCACCAGACAGGAGTCCCATTTGTTAATATACTCTTTGGTTCAGTTATTTTGGCCTTCCGTCTTACAACTGACCCTTTTATTCCTAATGCTTGTGTTCTTTCCTCATGCCACTTTTTAAGATCATCTTCACCAACAAATTAACTCTCCTTATTGTAGCAAAGCATTCCTTTGTCTTCCTTTTTTGTAATAGAATTCTTCAGTTTGAATTCTTCAAATGCTTGCAAATGTAATTTTTCATGTGTCTAACTTAAGAATAATACTGTCAACCATTGGCAGAAGCACAATCATCTCTGGCATCTGTGCTAAAAGAATAGAAAGTACCTTAAAATTTTTTTGTGCCAGAGATCTTATGCTTTGAAATATAATTGTTTGATTTCCATTTTGACTCACTTTATTTTCATGTACATAATTTGGTATTAAAAAGTAAAAAAATTAAAGCAATTTTTAACATAGCTTCCACATGAAGTCCAACCAAGCCTTTGAAAGTTAATTTTAAAATAGAAATTACTGTATTTTTTATTCCTATTTTATTACAACCATTTTTGAGAACCTCCTCAACCCAGAGCCTTCGTTCTTTAATGATGCTCTGTAAACATCTGCACTTCATGAAACTAACTCTAAATGAAAAGGCTGTAATTTTAAACTAAATAATCATGCTTACAAAGAAGCTCCTAGTAATTATCAGCTAATATTAGACGAAAAATAAAAAGTGTGCAGCTAAATTACTCACAGGGTCTTTTTTAGTGCCAAGTCCATCATAATACATTACACCAAGCTGATACATTGCTTGAAAATCTGTGTCCTGGATTTTTTCAAATTGCTTTAACGCTTCTTTGTACAACCCCTGGGAAAGAGAAAACAAACAATAACTCTCTGATATATACACCCTTAACAATTTTTCAACCTGGAGTATTTCTCTCATGAACGAAGAACAAAAAATTGCAACCACAGAAGTGGCAGGAAACAGACGGAGTAAGTTAACAACCAAGAAAGCTGGGTAACCAAAAGCCATTCTGACAAACTTTCTTCCCTCCCACAAACTGTCATCTTTTTAATTTGAGGAGATAAAGCCTAGTTCAGAATCCCTGCCCCATCTATCTGACATCCTTGAACTTAGGTCAGCTGTTCTTCCACCTCAAGGATTTAACAGTCTGCTTTTCCATCTCTGCTAAGGGCTGGTTTCACCAAGACTAATAAACCAGATGTCTGAAGACTTTCATGGACCCAGATGTCTGCCACACATTTCTTATGGAGGTATCACCTGCAACAACAGAGGTACTTTCACTCTTAAGAATCCATCTCAGAGAGTACTCGCTTCTGCATTGTCGGAGAAAAAATCACATTTAAAAATACAGTGCAATACAAAAGTTAACTGAGCCTGGTGTTCTAACTGAAATATTTTTACACATAAACACGAAGTAAAAACAATAGTGAAATTGAAATATTCTTCTCTATATTTTTACTTCAAATTTTCTGTGTGTTTTGATTAAAAAAAAAGTCAGATTGCAAAAGTTTGGAGCTGAGCAACAGTTCAACAGTCAGTCAAATGTCCTCACAATGACCAATCGTCCCCTAGTAATACTGACCAAGCTATTATCTTATTGTAATTGTCTTGGGAGCTTATCCATTTTGATTGTGGGGCTTTGTATTTTTAAAGAGCTCTGGAAAAAAAACCAAAAACGTTTCTTTTTACAACTAGCTGTCATGAATAACAGAAAAAGAAGTACAGGAGGCACATTTAATCTCACCTTTCCTGAGAATCTAGTGCCATGTGAAGGAGACACAGGGCTGTGATTAGGAAGTGGGATTTTTTTTCCAATATTGAAAAGTACAGTGCTATGAGCATGTGCATTTTTAGGCACTACAGACATACATTAAAAAATCTGAAAATTAAAACCTGCTCAAAGAATAAATTTAGGGATGTACAGCAATATCTATCATGGACATCCAAGCCAGCTTGTCAAGAAACAGAGCGGAGTCTCTTCATTCAGCTCCACGGAGTTAGTCTCAGGTAATTCATTAATGAAAACATTAAGGACAGGGCCCAGAAAGCAGAAAGTCTGATAATGTTCCTGCTGCAAACTGTGACACTGATTTACACTGTACCACTGCTGCACTGTAAACAGTACTGAGTCTGTGCATGTCACACTGGAAAATATCTGACTCAGTGTTTGTACTTCATTCTTTTCTATCCTCCTGAACTAAGTTCTAGTTTTCACAGGAAGCTGAGGTTTATATTCACTTGCCAGCCAGTCTCACTCTGTTCTCTGAGGATTTACTTTCAAAGACTTGGATGACCAATTTTAGCCAAACTGGGGCAGGGACAGAGATCTTGAAGATAATACATTTCAACAAGTTCCAGTTCCCAGGTGGGGAACAAAGATCGAAAGCTGTGTCTTGGTCAGGGCTCACTCCCACTGCAACTGAAAACAAAGTGTGTTGTATTTGGCCAGTCAGCTGCCCAAAAACCCAACCTGGCTTGGAAGTTTGCTATAAGAATAGGCTGCTGCTTACTTGTCTGGTCCTTAGGAGACCTGTGAGGGAACTGGAAGATTTCACTACATGCTTGGGGAAAGTGTAGCTTATTTAGGGGGAACACCAGGTGATTTTAATGGGACCAAAACAGGCACAGGGGAGGGGACCTCTCTTAGGTTTTTTTAAGGTGTCTCTTTTTTCATGGAAAAGGTGTTGAAAACTGTCTGCTTTATAATATTTACTTAAAAGAGGGAAAGCACCTTTTCATAGTATCGTTGTCCATCCAGAAAAGGTGCTGGAGGATCTCCACGTGCCTTACTCTTCACCAGCGGCTCCTCCAATTTTGCCAAGAGTGCACCAGGAGAGAGGATCTCTGATTAAAAACAGTCACACGTTTGGGTTTGTCCCCTAAGAGGTGAAACCTGCCTAAATACGGTAGAGGTCTGAAGCTGGTCCCTTTCTAATATGTTCTTCAAAAGACTAAGATGAAAGAGAAGGCTCTGTTATAAAACCGAAAAGCTGAGCGAAGACAGCCCGAAGGAAACATGCAGTGAATACAGCCTGACCCTTGTGTGCGTGAAGTTCGCCGTGCCAGAGCTGAAAGCCGCGCCTGACCGCAGCAGGGAGCTGCCGGCCGGAGCGCAGGCGGGAGCGGTACCTGGCGGGTCCGGCTGCTGCGGCAGCGGCTCGGAGCGCAGCGCCAGCCAGCACCGCCGGCCGAGCTCCCCCGGCAGCCCCGCGCCCGAAGGCGGCTCGGCCCGATCCTGCCGGGACGCGCAGTCCCGGGCCTGGCCCGAGCGGGGACGGCCAGAAGGGAGCGCGGCCGCGGCCCTCGCTGGTGCCGCGTTCCTGGCGCCGCCGGCCCCGGATCGACGCTTGCTGCTGTGCCGGGGCCTGCCGCCGCCCCGCCCGGCCTGCGCCGGCACCCGGCGCCGCTCCATAGCTGGGCCTGGGCTCGCACGGCAGGGCAAGGTCGGGGATGTAACGACGGCGTTCTCCGTTCGGGCTTGGCTCCACCTCCGGCCGTTGTCCGGAGAGAAGTGTCAGAAGGCACAGTGCGGTCTGCAGGCTGGGCACCCTGCGGATCATCCCCGCTACCGCCGGTTCTGTCGGAAATTAACAGCAGAAGCCCAAAATGCTCTGCAGAACACTATAGGCAAAAGGAGCAGAAACTCTGAATGCAAGTCAGAGAAAAAGGCACCAGGCCGTGACACTTCAGTTTAGCAGGCGGGACTTCATGCCGCTTCCAGTGATCAGAAACTGTTTGTTGTAATGTAGTTTGTTTTGCCCATATAGATATTAAAAAACTTAAAAGGATAATTGAGGGAAAATGCTGTTCGAGGTTTCTCATGAAATGTAAAGCATTGCTTCCACTTCTCTTGATTGCTTCTGGCTGTCTCTCTTACAAAAAGGGACTAATATCAAAATGCATGAAAGTGCTTTCAAAATAATCTTTAGCTGTGCTCCCAGCTTTTTCTTTTTTTCCAGATGATTATCATCCTTCCATTTTTGGCAGTGTGATCTGTTTCTATAGCGACAGGGACAAGAGGCAACAATCAAAACGGGAGAGTGAGGACTGCAGATTTGTGTGGTTAAAACCATGGGCTCAATGTGATGTTTTCCGGTAGTCCCAAGTGACTTTAAGTACCAAGAAACACCTAAAATTAATCCTGATTCATTTTGTGTAGATGATATAACCAAAGAAATCTACAGGAAAATAAACTTTTTTTTTTTTTAAGCATCAATTACTTACTTAACAGGCAGAGTGAAGAACAGTGTGAAAGCAGCAGTACCCTTCAGCAAAGACAACTAACAATGGGTTGCATGGCTGCTTTTGATGCAGAAGGGTGTGAGATTCACCAGCATGCCTTGGTTTATCTGACTGCTTACACATTCATTAGAGCCATTTTTCCAATTTAATTCTGTTGATACATATGCAAGATGTGTGATCTGAGGTACAAAGCACAGAAGAATTGTTTCTAAGTTATGTTCCAGAACAGCTGTAGCCAGGAAGCCTTGTCCTTACCTGGCACTTGGGGCTGCCCCATACAAAATAGTTGAGAATTGTAACTTCTGTGTTTATACCAGTACAAGTACTGGTTATTCAAAAGCAGAAGAGTTTTGCAAGCACTAATGAGGTGTGCAAAATGTGACCTGAAGCTCAAGAACTAATTAATAGCAGGAATTTGAAGAGAGTTTTGGCTGGCCGGATGCAGATGTGTGTGTAGGTGGCTAGGCTGGAAAGATGAGATTCCTCAGGTGCAGCTTGAAACCTCTGAATTGCTGAGGTAATGGAGGGAGGAAAGATCTTTAAACCAAACATAAAACCAAAAGCACCAAAACACAACCTCTTTGGCAATGCAAAACTATTTAGTCTTAAGCTAATTCTGGATACGTGTGTTTTCAAAAGAATCTTTAAAATTGCATAAAGGTATTTCATCCCTAACAAAGCATAGTTAGGAATGTGGGAATTTTATTTGTTTGTTAACAATTAGCTTGGCTAGCTGTTCAGGGAAAAACCCAACACAACATTTTGTAATTACACAAGTGTGCTTCTTTCCATATAAAAAAGAAGTGAAAACTGTCACTTACTGAAGCAATTCTGCTGTTGATCACAGCCTATTTACCTGGATTTCTGCACATTTAAAAATTGTACTGTATATGCTCATATTGCACTAAAATAATTTATATTAGCTTTCCCAAAGGAGAAGCAGAAGGTAATTTCATCATGTTTGTGAATTAATTTCAGAACTATGTATGCCCTAAAGGAACACCGTTAGGCTTCCTTCCCCCTATCTCTGTTTATTAAAACCATGCCATTATTATTTGTTTTTTTAAATACGTGACTTTCAATTATTTTTTAAAAATTATGGTAGTGATTATGAGGGACTTCCATAACAAACATATAGGTATTTGACACAGAAGGAAATACCATAATGCTAAGAACAGAACTGTGTACTGTGGACACTCACCCTCTCTAACATACTTCAAGCTCAAGTAAGTGACAATCAAAGTTCTGTTTTGCAAATGTGTTTTGAGCAGAGATGTAGCAGGTGGCTGTGCCCAGATCCACCATTGCCGATTCTAGTCCTGCCCAGACTGGTGATGAACCTGCTGCGATGTCTGTGCTGAAGGTGAGAGCTGGGTCTCACAGCGTGCCTCGCCTGGCCAGTCTCCCTGGCCTAGTGGCAGAGCTTGGGCAGGACGATGGTACAGATTTCTCTTTACTAACTTAAGTTTTCTTTCTGGGAAAAAAATCTAAATTAATTCTCTATTATTTTCGTTCCTAGATCCAAGTCTGCCTAGCCTTCCAAAGTAGCGTAAAGGTTCTGCGCTGGCAGAACCCCTGTGGCGGCTGCGCCTGGCAGCGGCACAACCAAGGGCACACCAGGCCGCGCTCAGGGCTCGGTGGCTCCGGCTGACGGCGGCAGCGGGGCTTCCAGCGGCGCCCGCTCCCGGCCCGTGCAGCAGCCGGTGCCCGGCCCCGCGGGGCTCCGGAGGGCGCTGCCGCGGCTGCCGAGTGTGTGCGGGACGTGCCGGGCGGCCCCGCGCCACATGGCCGCCCCCGCCGCCAGCCCCGGCCCCGGCCCGGCCGCGGCCCCGCGGAGCCTCCGGGGCGGCCATTGGTGCCTACGTGCGGAGGGCGGGGCGGGGCTGCGGGCCCGGCGCTCGCTGCCGGCCCGGGAGGCGGGCACGGACGGACCCGCGCCTCGGTCCCCCGGCCCACAGCCCCGAGCCCTGACAGCCCCGCGCCCAGCAAACAAGGGGAAGCGATGCTGATGCTGGACTGCAGCGCAGAGGTGAGGTTTGGGACGGTCTGTGTGTGGCTCTGTCTGGCCGGGAGCCCAGCTGCGGAAGTGAATGAGGTGGTGTTTGCCTGGAGCTGCTGCTATCAACGCTGGGGCAATAACGCTGGTATTTCTGGTTAAGAGATTAAAAGCCAAAAACCTCTTTCTTGCACTGCTCTTCAAAAAAGAAAATATTTAAAAAGCAGTTGCAAGGAACATGAAGGTCCAGTGGTTTGCAAGGGGAATGTTTTTTTCTGTAATGCAGAATTCTGAGACCTGCCGTGGTTTACACTGGCAGTAACATTTCCTTGTTTCTTTTTATATCCTGTTTCAGTGTGGTAGTTTCAGCAACTTATTTGAGACAGGAACCGGTGTGAACGCACCTGCAGATGCCTCTGGTCAGTCTCCAGCTCACTTGGCTGCTTGTGGTGGTGAAGCTTTCTTCCTACTCTGGCAACTGCAGACAGGAGCAAATTTGAACCAACAGGTAAAAAACACATACATTTTATTCCTTCCACTTCTAATCTGGCATGTCAGTAAATCCACTTAATATTATTTACACACTTTTTATCTAAGAGAGGGTTTTCTTATACTCAGTTGCATTGCATGAGATACTTGGGGTTGCTTATTCTAGAGTAACTTCTAGCATGAACGAGAAATCCTGTCTATATTGCATTAGCAACTTCACTTGCAATGTATAATTTAATTTTCACACTTAGAGTGCTGCATGCTGATGTCCAAACAACTTAATTCTTTTACACAACTTGAGTATTTATTTTTCCTCCAAAAGTTTGTCCCTACTTTGAGTAAATGTAAGGATTCTTACTCAAGTTGCTTAGTCGAATCCCTTATACCTCTGAGCTGGTAGCAAGCTATTGGTCACAGCAATCCCTGAATGGTGCTAAGAGATGCTGTTAGTCTGTGTAGAGGGTATTCTGTGTAAGTTATCTTTTAAGAAGGCAAAGGTTAAACAATGAGTACTGCAGGAGAGAGCACTTCTGCTTTGTGGTGATGAATACATTAGACATTTAATGGTAGTTACCATTACTATACTAGCTATATTCCTTTAATCTCTCAGCTCATAACAGACTGGTGTACCTAAACAGTAATTTTTGAGAACAAGACAGCTTTATCCTACTCCTCTTCTTGCAAATGACTGTTACATATAAATTGTGTTTTTAGGATTGCCTTGGAGAAGCCCCGATACATAAAGCAGCAAAAGCTGGGAGTTTGGAATGTCTTGCTCTCCTTGTTGCTGGTGATGCTAAAATTGAGTAAGTTGAGCAACGTTTAGTAACTTCAGTAAGAGCATCAAAGGATGTGCATTTTACAGAGTACATTTAACTTGCTCAGAACACACGTGCTAAGGCTGCAAATATAGCATGACTGTAGCAATAGGAGTATTAAAAACTGACATAAACAGCAAAGGAGCACCGACCACATGCTAACACGCTGTTGTGTAGCTATGTACCTCTGTGATAACTGCTGAGAGAATATTCCTGATCATCATCTCACCCTCTTCTTGCCTTTCTGATATGCTGAAGCTAGTAATAGACTGATGACAAATTTATTTTAAAATAATTATTCCTTTCTGTATTTAATACCCACCCCTTGTATGAGCCATATGCTATCCTTGCAAACCTTCGTGGTATTGATTCTCAGTACTTATTTTTATACACCTGCCTAAATCACCTCTTAATCAGCACTTGCTCATTATTCCAGTTGAATTGGTTATTGTTAATTCTGTATTTCAGCTTGTGCAACAACAGTGGGCAGACAGCAGCAGACCTTGCACTGGATTATGGCTTTCTGGAATGTGCCAAGTTCCTCAGGACAATTCAGCACACTCAGACAATGAAACTGAGAGGACAGTCTGGAAACTCGCTAAGTGACAGACATGGCTTGCAGAGAGAGGATCCAACTGCACAGAAACAAGAAAGTGAAACCAGCAGATCCATAAACAGGAAGAGGAGAAGATCAGATGGTGTGTAACAGTGTTGGTTTAATACAATTCAGGATATTTTTTAAAATGTTTTTAGCATCTAAGTAAAACAAATGTGTTAGACAGAGAGCAGTTAGATTTAGAAGCCTCCTAGTAAGGATGAACTTGCATAGGTCCTTAAGGTTAGGGTCTTCTTGGAAATGGACAGTACATGTGGAATGCCACTTAAGAGGCTACTTCAACACAGAAGAAATAAAAATCATAGGTACCCTTGCTGATGTACTGATGAAGTAGCTACAGACTTATTTTGTTTCTATGACAGATCTTGTTGCCTAACTGCCAGAAGAAACATCCTGTAATCCCAACATGAAATAAGGGAAATCTGAAGTCTGAAGAACCATGACTGGACGATACACTGAGCAGTCAGATGTGTGTGCTGGGACATTGTCTCCTTCTGAGAAGGAGGAAAGCTTGTTTATTGTTACTTCTTACAGAAGAATTTTGTGAGTATTTTTTTTTTCTCACCTGGAATACTTGTTTTCATTCAGCTATAAATAAATGAGCATAGAAAAAATTAATTCTCTTGCTTTTTCTGTGTAAATATGACAGCAAAATTAATAAAATCTAGTAAATATGGCTACTTTTCCACTTCTTTTCCCACTCCTAAAATGTTTCATCAAGAATACCAGCAACAAACAAGGCCTTTGAACAGATTCATAATGGACAAGACAGATGGCTAAGTGGAACTTGAAAGGCAAAGGACAATTTATCTTTCTGTCATGAAAGAATTCCACAAAACAAACGGATTTGGCATTTAATCTATAGAGATTCTAGCAGAAGAGGAAATACTATATAAACCTAAAGTTGTGCTATGGAAAAGTACAGAGTATTTGTTGCCTAATAAATGCATTTGTAAGGAATACAGTTCAAAGCAGGTAACTTATTTCTAGAGGTTTCATTTAAAAAAGAATAGTTTCTTAATTTAAGTCATTCAACCAACATTTCTATTTCACCTGGGTTTTGATTGACTTGAAGCATTATTTTGATAAATAACAGGACAGTTTTATCTAGATCAGCTACTATTCTGTCTCAGCGCATTCAGCATGAGATGAATTTAAATAGCCTTTGGTCGTTGAGGTAGGCACAGATTGTAATAGGCGTCCTTGTTCCAAAACTCCGGGCCCTTCCATCCACACCAGCCCTGTCCAAGGAAAAGCAAGATAGCTTTTAAATCTACTTTAAATTCTGTTTTTCACTATTGAGTCTATTCTTATTTTACTAATCATACTAATCTAAGCTGTAGGAATTATTTTCAAATGACTATAGAATGCAATGACAATTTTCAGAAAGTTCTCTACATGCCTGGAAACACATTAATGGAAAACACATTACAAAAAGACTCTCTCCGCCTTCCTCCCTCCCCAGTTTAATTCTTAGAAAGTATCATCTCCTCCCCATCCCCACCTCCTCACTACCTTCTGCTGCTCCTGAGAGATTAATGTTATTCTGAAATGCCATCATTCTCATAGTTTCCCTTAGTTCCTCCATAGAGACTTTTGATGAGGAAAGTGGGTTCTGCATTTATTTTATCCTCCTGGACCACTGAACCATTCTAACAGCTAGTAGCTGTAACAGCCTTTGATCCTACACATTCTTTGGAAATAGTTTCTTCCTGTGTTCATTTCAAGCTTTGATCATTATAGGCCACAAAAATGCTTCTTAAACATTTGTGAGTATTGTTTGTTGGGTTTTTTTGTGGGTTTTTGTTTGTTTGGCTTTATTTGTTGGTCTGGTTTTTTGTATGTTTGGGTTTTTTTGTTGGGCCTACACAAGGGTATCAAAGATTAGAAATGAAAGTTACTATTTGCACTTAATAGGAAAACCAGAAAAGACATTGATTACCTACATTTACAGGATGATTCAGCTGCTTTAAGAGTTTACATTTCTGACACTATATTTACTAGTTTGTAATGTGCTGCGTCATCCCTTTTAGCAGCTTTAAATGCGGAAATGACGTTACATTACATACCCCTGAACACTTTGTAGTTTTTCCACATTTTCCAAACAATTCAGTACCTACCCTCTGATCATTGTTAAAGGCCTGATCTGAGAACGGTTAGTGTTGGATTTTTAAAAGAACTTTTAAAATTTAAAATAAGTGATCTTCCCTGTTTCATTTAGAGCATCTTACAGCCTGAGCAGAATTTTCTGTTTTATTCAAAATATAGAACACATTTATTGTGTATACTCCTGGGTAAAAGGGGAGTTGGGTGAATTCATACAAAATAAAGAACATTGCTTTATAGTATAATAACTGGATGTAGTTTCTGATCTGATACATCTCCAAAGACACTAAGTTTCAGAAAGTGACAATACTTAGCATATGTAGTATGCAGGTTAACTGGGCTCAGTGCTTCTTCCATATGGAATGGAGAAGCCATAGAATGGCCACGTTGTATTTGGCTGGACATTATTTTTTTAATGCCAAAATACATGTATATACATAAATGTGTGCGTATATATGTGCATTAAGCCTCACCTTTTCCAAAATAACATGCAGATCTTCTCCTCCAGTGTAATGTGGGTCTAGAATCAAGTATTTAATGTGCCCTGTAGTCTCATTCCAAGCCACTCCCAATATCGTGTGAGCCAAAACACCTCCACCTAAAATAGGAGAAACACAGATGGCTGTATTTTTTTTCATTGGGAATGATTTCATATACAAGGGCTTAATAAAAGTACATCAACACCTTCTATTAACAGATTAGCTTGTATCAAGATGATTCTGAAAGTGTTTCTTTCATAAGATTCTTGACATTATTAAACAATGTATCTTTACTACAGCTAAGAAAGGTTAGTTGTAGTAACTAAAGTAAGTAGAGAATTTATTTTCCAAATTTCTTCTAAGTCAGCAAGGCAGGTTAAATCCTCAACACTTCTACCAGATGAAGTCTAGAATATTTCAAACATCTCTTTTGCACTTTTTTTTAAAGAAACCTAACTGTAGGAAAGAAATCTGCAAAATTTCATGGTTGTAAAAGGACTAAAATTAGAAGAGAAATTGGAATTCCTGGATGAAGTTTATTTGTTGTTTTCTACTATGTTACATCAATGAATATTAGGGGCAGGAAATAGTAAATTCTGATTTCCCTTTCCTCAGCCTGCAAACAGGAAAAGGGGATATTTTGATGAGATGAGCCCAGGTCAACTCTGGCATGTTTCTTTCAGATAACATGCAATACTTTACTTCCCCGCAATATTGTAGTAACTCCACACAGCACATAGGGATTGCAAAATCCCTGGAAGAATACAAGCAAAATCAATACCCAAACCCCACCCTCAAAAAGCCCAACTCCAGCCCTCCAATGACAACAAAAATTAAACCAAGCTGCAAGAGAGCATTACAGGGAGGGGTACTAAAAGATTTTTCAATACAGGATTCTACATTCTTGACATTCAGATAAAAAGGCTGCTGAAAGGCCAAGAATATTTAACGGAATCATAGCATGGTTTGGGTTGTAAAGGACTTTAAGTATCACCTAGTTCCAACCCCCCTGCCACGGGGGGGTCACCTCTCCCACTAGACCAGGTGCTCAAAACTCCATAAATCCTGGCCTTGAGCCTTGGGCCATCCCCCTGGTCTTGGGGCATCCACAGCTTCTCTGCACAGCTGTTCTGGTGTCTTGCCACCCTCACATGGAACATTTCTTCCCAATACCTAATCTAAACCACCACCATACCAAAGTCTGGACTTCTGGCACCTCTGTTTTGAGGAAGTTACACTGCATTATAGAATGACAAATACAGACTGGAAAATTGCTTTAATTAATGTTATTAAAGTTGAAAATAATAATATCAATACTACTAATTTCCTAAAACACAGCATGGAAAAAACAATTAATGTTGCAGTATTTTTACAAATGACACTTCTTATCATACCAGTATTTCAGATTATTAAAACTGGTCTTAAATTAAGTTAATCTTCCAAGCCAATTGACAGTACTCTTCTCTGAGGGGAAGTTTTGGGGAACTCTATGAACTTCTGCTCCTATGGAGAATGGAAGTCAGCTCAAGTTCTGACTTAACAGAAATTTATAAAAACACCATTTACACTGACTTTTTTTACCATGTTCAATACTGAGCTTGAAAGAAATACTAAATAAAAAGATACCAACCAGACTAAACTCTATAATTTTTGAGGCTATATTGGGAAAACTGTAATTTTTAATTCATCTACAGTTTTGATTAACTTTTGTACAGTAAATTAAATGGGTTCTAATTGAAATTAAATTCAGCACAGAGAGGCCATGCACTTTCATTAGCATTCTTCAACATTCAAGTACTTACCAATCATAATTGGAGTTCCCTCAGTCTTGAAATGATTAGCAAGTTCTCTTCCCTGCAATGCTAGCTCAGAACCCTGGCTAGGTAAGAAAAACAGTAACAGATTTATCATTCTCACTAGGTGTACTTCAGTAATTGCCCATTATACTCATTCACTGCATAGATAACCAATTAGAAAGTCACTTGGATTATTCCTCTGTAAAATTCCTGAGAAAATCTGAAAAACATTTTCTAACACAAGGTCTATTTGCTAGGCATGGAAATTAATACAGACATTTTTAATATCTTGTCTTTATAGTTCTTTATATAGTGGCTAATCTTTTTAAAACCCAGTGAGAGTCTGTGTGCCTACTTCCCAAGTAGGAATGGATTAAATGCAGACAGAATACAAAACTGGGAAATGATGCATTTATTGTAATGGATCCAGTACTGTGCAGCTTGTGCAGCTGTGAAGTCTTATTTCCATAAAGAATCAGAGATGCTAGCTGGAAATAAGCCCAAGATAAAAATGCTATCCACTGCCAGTGACCAGCTGAAAAAGCTGCTTGATTGTTTCTTCTTCCCAGCATGGTAGTGATGTTGGTTTTTGGTAACACTGAGAAAAACTGCTGCTCCCTTGTAGCAGCACTATGAGCAATTCTACCCACTTCAGGAGTGTATTCTATATTCTCATATGCAGGAATAAAAATCTTCCTACTGGCAGGGCCTGTCACAGCTGCTATAAATAACAGGTGGATCAACTGCAAGTACAAGCTCTGGAGCAAAAAAAGATTAAAATCTTGAAGACCTGAACTATTTTCCTACCATTAAGGATCCCCATTACCATGCTCTTTTAGAATATCTACAGTGTGAATTCACTCTAAAGAAACATAACACATGAAAAGTGTTTTGGTTTGTATTTTCATACATATTGTTAGTGTATGTTCTTAATTTCATGACTGTACTTATTAAATGTTCGGGGTTTTATTAGTATGCTTAGTGCTTCCTAAATGATAAAAAGTATGGTAGTTTTTCTTCTGATATATGCTAAAGACTATTCTTTTTGTCCCAAATATCTTTGTAGGATTCTTCATTGTGTATGACAGCATGAGACTGTCAGAATGGAAACAAACTCCTTGCTTTATGTGTCACAAAAATGCAAAAAGGGGAACATTATTTTCCAGACTTCTCAACAATTTGCCTCAATCCTAAACTCACAAGTTAGGTTTGTGGCTGCAGTAATAATCTATTTGTCAGTGCACATTCAGTTCTCTCTGGACATCAGACTGTGTGTCTGGCATCAAAAATTGTGGTGCAAAGGAATAAGCTGAATTCCGTATCAGTTTGGATATCATGAAGCAATTTATAGATTAAGCAAACCCAATGGGAACCACATTTCTTGTGGAAGCATTTGATCATAGTTTTATAGAATCGGGCAATTTGCATATTATTAAGCAATTTATAGCAAATGGAAACTGGAACCCCAAGCTCCCAAGAAATTTAACACTACCTTCATTGGTAAGCACAACTAAAGGTAGGAATAGAGGGTTAATTATAATTATACCTCTTCTCCCATGTACTGTGACCATGATTTGTATTTTAAGGCATTCAGTCTTTCTAGCAATTACCAAGCCATTAAACAAGTAGTGATTCTTACCTGACAAATAATATTTTGGATGTTATTCCAAAAAGCTGATTCAAAACAAGCTGTACCTCAATCGAACCAATCCATTGCCGTGACCCAACAAATGCTGCGGGCTTGTCTCCAGCATCAACCAGTGCCTTTGCAACATCACAATGAGGAAGAAACCCAAATATCAACAACATATAGTAGGGAATGCCACCATTTTGTGTCAACAAAATTACTTTATATAAATGGGCATGTCTTTTGAACCTAGCAGTTTAAAAGCAGACCAATGAATGTTGAATTAATTCACTGCAGTTCTGTTTTGGAAATGTCCCTTTGAGCAGTAATGCAGAACTGTGTCAATGAGTAGAGACCACAATCCCAGGTCCACAGGCAGACTTCAGGCTGGGAGAGGGACCACTGAGCTCTTTAATAATGGAGTGCATCATTTGTACACTGCAGAAGCCACTTCACAGACTGAAAGGCTTGGATTTCTATTCAAAGCACTCAGGAAAGGATCCATAAAATAGTGCTCTGAAGAAGAGGCTACTGATCCATGTCAAAGGTTATGGTTTATTTTAAACTGTTCTTCATTCTGAGCTTTATATGTTACATTCAGCACTTGAGAGGGACCTTTTCTGCTCAGGACACAAAGCCCAAAGGTCTTCTGAGGGCTACTGCTCTCTTTTAGATGCCTAAATATGCTACAGGATTGCACAGATTTCAAGAGCATTCAAGTGTGGATAGAGAAATGTTCAGGAAATGTGGTTTTACCTTTAGTGTTCACATCCCTGCTACATATAATAAATGTTTTTTAATGGAATGAATTAAACTTCACTAAAAATGTTCAGTAAATAGCTGTAACATGAAGAATTATATTTAGAAGCAGAAGGTAACTGCAGTACTCCTTGACAGGCATACCCAATTATGGGTATTAGCTACAAGCCTACAGTTTTAATTCAGTGTTGTTAACAAAAACGAACAATTCAGGTATGCATTTAAATTCAAAACAGAAAAGAAGTGAAGGAGAGTTCAAAAATCAGGAAAAAGTGCACTACTGTCAAAGGCAAAGTTGCAAAAGTTGTCAGTAAATTCCTGTGTAGCATCTGGGAACTAATCCAGCTGTCACTGAGTATGACAGCCAGTTTTAAAACTGATTTTAGCATGACACATTGGGTTCTTTGTTCTTTTCATTTGACAAAAACAGTGAAAATGTCATATCACAGCTTCTAATACAACATTAATCCAAGGAAACATTTAAAAGATTATTTTAATGTATCTTATTTGTACAGCCAATGTCACCCAACACAAACAATTCAGAACCACCAGTCCAATTTAAGGGACAAAAAATATTGTCTAAAATGTACGAATTTGATATTTAAAAACAATCTACATAAACCTTTATAGACAAATATGCATAAAACAATCTCCTTAAATGTCCTGTACCTGTTGAATTTCCTTGTGTGTTGGTATAGGTCTATCCATGTAGCCTTGGTGCTTGAACCAGGAGCAGATTGTCTGCAAAGAGCGATAGGCACAGCCCCAGCCGCTGTCATCCACACGGTCCTGCATGTAGTGGTGGTAACTGTATACACCTTGTACTAAATAAACCTGCACAGGAGGGGAGCACACAGAGGCATCTGATCACACTTGCACCAGTTTTCAGAGAAGTCATATCACCTGGCACTTGCACTGTAAAGTTTACAGTTAGGGACCGCAAATCTTCGGAAGATTCAAAGGGTCATTATTCAAACATGATTAACTGCACCTCATTTTGTCTCCTAAACTGTGTTCATAGTTTTAGTTTCTTGTCCTGGTTCTGAGAAACTTTTTAGAATACATGCTAAAATCATGGACATTATTCTCCCAAGAAAATCCAATTTATTTGGGACAAATACAATAAATGAAAGCAGTGCCATTTTGTGCCATTTTGTGCAGAGGAGCCCTTTTGCTTAAGAGGTCAAACCAATCTGCACATCACTGACTATCTAAATTACTTCTTTCAATAAAAAAAATCTCAAAATAAAAAGGTACTTTCTGCAAAATGTTTCGAATTTAAACTTACCATACCAGACTCCATGCCAGGTGAACTAAGATGTAAATGTGGATTTCTGAGATATCCATCTTTATATGGTTCATCTGGAAAATGATAAGCATTTGCTCTCTTGAAATATGGTCTGTCACAAGGCAGATTGTATAACCCATGCAATTCCTACATGCAAGTTCAAATAAAAATAAGAAACACAATTCAAATTTTGGATTAAAAGAAAGACCACATCGTAAGCAGCAATAAAGTTATAATTTCAACAGCATAGTTTAGCAAATTATTAAAATAGGCTTAATTAAACACTCGGCAGGTATGTTTACTACTAGACCTCACCTCTGCAGGGAAGCTCATGCAGGCTTACCTCCCATCTAAAGGGCCCACTACTTTATGCAGTCCTGTTACATAACACCTGCTGCTGGGGCCCCACTGAAAATACCACGAGTAACAGGTTTGTTATGAAAGCATGATAAAATACACCATCATAGAAAAGGATTACAGTTTTATCTACACAGTAATGTAGATACACACACCAAATTATAATCTTAACTGATATTGGAGCATAAAAATAACACATACTGACACAAAATAAAGATATTGAGCTTATGGTTCAAGCAAATTCAGTCTATTTTAAAATCTCTTAAGCTCTGTTTGCCACACAGCAGCCACATTTAAAGAGATATATTGTCTTATTTCACAGAGCTTAAGAGTGAATCATGATGAGATCCTCTAGGATAAAGGGTGTAACACAGCTAATACATTTTAGGCAGATGACCCAGCACTGAACCCAGCTACAGGAGCTGCAGAAACACTTCCCATCAGTGGGTTAGAGTGAACAGCAGAGAGAGCAGGAAACAGAGGCAGTGCCACCAGTGCCTGAGGCCTCTGCAAACACAAGGCTAGATTGGGTTTTATATACCCAGTAATGCTTCACACAGAAAAAAGTCCCCAGTTCCTACACCTCTAAGCTGCAGAATATTCTCTCCCTGCTCTCAGCACATGCAATTGTGTGACCTAGACTGGTATCAGTCTCAATCTGAAAGGTCTGGCACATCTCAACTTTCTTCCACTTCATCCATATTCTTTTTTCCAGATGCCAATCCAAAGGCAAAAACAAGCCAAAAACTAGCTAAGTTTGGCCAGCTGTTTGGAGCTACAAAAAGCAGCCCCTCCAAACAGACAAAAATCCCACAACACCACAAAACCCCAAGAAAGACCCAAAACAAACAAACAAAAAAAAACCAATAAGCTTTTCAGGACATATGTTAAAAACTGAATGTAGTAACACACCAAAAGTAAACTAATGTTCTACCATAGAAGAACAAAAAAAAAGGGAGAAATTCAAAGAAAATTTTATAATTTAGAGAAAATATTTATCAATCAAATTTTATGTACTTTTAAAGTTTCTGTTGTTCCCTCACAAAAATGAGATCTGGCACATTCTATAAAATAACTTATAATGAATCAAGTTTTCACATTCAGTATACTGTTTTGGCTATAATAAAAATGAATCTAAAATACAGCAGTATCTGCTAGTATTTATTCTACATTGACTAAACGGAAAGCCCTACCACTGCTACAATTACAGTAATTAAAAATAAAAGATCCAGTTCTGTTACCGTTTGTTGGCTTTACCTTTCTGTAACTTTCCAGCTGATCATCTGAAATACCCGTAGGATATGAGACTGTTACGAGGTGATTTTTTCCTGGTAACATGAAATGAAATTGTTCTGGTACCACAATTGATGTTCCTTTCACATATTTCATGATACATCTTTCCATGTCAGTTAATTGCCCATGAATTGCTTTCACTAGGAGATTTTGTACCCTGCAAAGTACAAGAGAGAATATTTCAAAAGCAGAGCAGTGATTGTGAATAATTTTTTCTCACAGCTGTGAGTTATACAATACCTAAATGCATGTCTGACCTGGTCAGATGACTGCACTACTTCAATGCTTCTGCTCCCACAGGAAAAGGCAGAGCCCAGCTGTGCCTTTCTCAAAGCTTGTCTGCACACAGAAATGAGTCCCTAGTGATTCAGTCCTCCCAAATGTGGCTACCCTGCTCTCCTATCAGAAACACAATCAGTATGAGCATTTGCCAAAATAAAAATTAAATATTTGACTAAATGTTTTCTTTTTTGCATTTTATCCATGCCATTTAGTGTCATTCAGAGTCAAATCCTATGGAAAAAACGCAAGGAAAAAATACACAGGCAGACTCAAATGTTTTCCATCCGGAACCCCAAATGTAGGGCTGAGATTACAAAGACTCATCAAATACACCCCAACTCGCACTTTTATGCACCTCACATACAAAAATTTCTAGAACATTTTCCTAACCTTCTCAATTCTTTGCTAAGCAATGGTTGTGAGTTATCAAATCTTTCAGACATTGATAAACTGAATTTTTATAGAGAGCAAAAGAATCATGTCTCAAGATTACTGAAGTTAACAGCTGTCTACATGAGCTTTTATTATTTACACAGTTAAAATTACATCACAAAAATACTATATACTTTTCATTGAACTGATGAATGATATAGCTGTACTTCATTATTTCAAGAAAAAGCAGAAATGAAGCTGAAAAATTGCAAGTTCAGGATAACGCTTACTTTCCCCATGGCTCTTCTGGAGAAACAGATACAACAACATCAACTGGTAATGTCATATTTATGTAGTGGTGTTCCTTCTTTTCCCTTTCAATGACTGGAGCCAAAGCAGCTAATGAAGACGTCATTTCCAGCATGAGGTCCACATTGATTATCTGCTGCTGCAGAGAACAAAGACACCAATGTTACATCTCCAACTACAAGAAGGCAAAAGTAAGAACCAATAAGTACATGAACCAAAAAGGCAAAAGTAAGATTGCAGGTGTTTGGTATCAAACTCAGTAATTAAATACTTGGGTTAGAAAAAACCTGGTAATGTTGAAGACAAACTTTCATGTGCTGATCTACCATAGGTGGATTTCTGCATTCATGTTGAGTCTCAATGATTTTAAAAGCATTATTTAAAGTCATGTCAATGCCTATTTGTGTACAGAAAAGCCTAGAGAGGGCAGGTCTCAAAATGTTTAAATGGTAATTTTTCTTACATATTAGAAACATACCGTATCCTGTAACTTTTTATCCTTTTTTTTGCCAAGCTTTCGTTTGGTCTCATCATCTTGATCAAATCTGAATTATGAACAGAAAGAGAAATTTCTATAAGATGAAATTAGGTAAAATATAATTGTTTCTCATTATTTCAATCCAAATATCACTAATATACATTATACATATATATAAAATATGTATTCTTCCAGCTCAAGTAAAGCAAGGACAGAACTGAGCTGAAAGGTAATTAGGCATCTGTAGGTATGCATTCATTAGTTAGGAAACCACAGTTTCAGGTAAATGACAACAAGCAAAGGGGTGGGGGATATGTGTGTGTTATACACAACCTTGAGAACTAAGGCTGAGTTTCACATTTGACATGAGAGCTGCTTATGCCACCACTGAGACCAGCCAGCTGTTTGCTCCCCCTTCCAAAGTCCCTGCTCTGTGTCCCCCTAACTGCTCACATTTTAACATGAACTTCACTAGAGAGCTCATGCAGATGGAAAGACATCCTTCTATTTAGAGAGGACTTTTTTTGACAGATCAATCCCCAATCAAGTTCAATGTACCAGAAAAAAACAGCTGTGGCGGTACAGAGAGGAACAAAAGGTGACAGATGAGTGTGGTAGTGCTCACTGTAACAGTCCACAGAAAGAATGCTTAAACTGCTCCAAAAAAACCACTACCAAGCACCTGTAAAAATAATTATACTAGGACCCTTTGGAAAGACTGACTGCACAACTGTTTGCTTATAAAGTAAGAGACACTTCCACGTGCAATGCCATTGCTACTCATGAAATAAAAAACCCACAACACAGGACTAATTTTCTTTCCATTAAAAGCATTCTAAAGAGAAATACACAAAATATGCATGACTGTTAAAACATAATAATCTACTACTTTATCTGCTGGTGAAGGATTTTCATGTTTCAGTGATTCTGGAGTGCCAAGAAACAGTTTGGTTCCTGAAGCATTATCCTGAAGTATTTTAGATAATACGCTTATCTGCATTAATAGGGTCTCAGAGTGTAGGACCCACAAAAGTGCCAGCCAGAATGTGAAAAAATGTTTGCCTGGGTTGATGTAAATGTTTTTTATTTGAATTATTACTATGCAAGAATAACGTTCATCAACAAAAAGAAGAGCTCTGCAAAAGCAGCTGATCATGGACATCAGAGAATCACAGCATGGGTGAAGCTGGAAAGGACCACAGTGGGTCACAGAATCACAGAATCTTCTGAGTTGGAAGGGAACCACAAGGACAATGAGTACAACACTTAAGTGAACGGCCCATAACGGGGATCAAACCCACAGCCTGGGTGTTAGGGTGATGTGGTCCAACGTCCTTGCTCAAGCAGGGTCATCCCAGAACACATTGCACAGGATTCTGTCCAGACAGTTCCCGAGTATCTCCACTGAGGGAGACTCCACAGTCTCTCTGGACAATCTGTTCTAGTGCTGTCGCAGCACAGTAAAGATGCTCTTTCTCGTGTTCAGGTGAAACTTCCTGGGCATCAGGTTCTGCCTGAGGCCTCTTGTCCTATTGCTTGGCACAACCGAGAAGAGCTGCGCATCATTATGATGACCTCTTCCAAAAAATCCGTGGCTAAAGCCAGGCAAGCTGAGTCCCCCACGGGCGATGGAGAATGGCAGGGGCTATAGGAAGGCGTCAGTGGGGGAGCGCCACTGCTCCCCGTGTGACACAGCCTGTGTCCTGCAGAAAGGGGACCAGGGGCTTCCGCACCTCCCCCGGGGTACCCCTGGGGCTGGAGGCCCAAACGCGACGGCCGAGCACCCAGAATCCAGCGGGGACACCAGCCCAGCCCAGCCCGCCCCGCCCGGCCCGGCCCGGGCGGGGGCGCTCCCCTCCCCGCTGAGGAAGGACACCCACCCGCCTACTTACCTATCCACCTACCTAGTCTCCCACCCATCCGTCCGTTCCATTCCCCGGGGACGGGGAGAAGGGGCCGGGCCGCGGAGGGGCGGACTCACCACGTCTGTCAGCGCCGCCGGGGGGCCGGGCCCGCCGCATCCCGGCGGCGCAGGCGCGCTGCCGGCGGGGCCCGTCCGCCCCGGCCGCGGGCCCGGGCCCGAGCGCTTCCCGTTCGGCCGGCAGGGCGAGGCCGCGCTGCCGCGGGTTTCCGCCGGAATCACCCGCCTTCCCTTCCCTTCTCTGCGGCGCTGCCGTGCCTGCTGGGGACTGCGTGGGGCTGAGCGTTCTCTCCTTGGGCAGCCGTGGCTGCGCTCAGCGCGGTGTGTCCGGGATCAGCGGCCTGCTGCCAGACGCTGGTGTTATTTCCTCGTCATTTCACAAATCCACTGGGAGACGCTCCGGAATCCCGCTGGCCCGGCTGCTGCCTCGCGTTACTGCTCCCGCCAGGCCAGGCTTCCACATCCGCCCTCGCACTTCTCGGGCACATCGGCATGCTGAGGTCCAAAAGTCGTCCCCGTGAATCCCTTGATAAATGCTTTGTGCGTTAAGATGTAGAATTTAACTCCAGGTCTGTTTATTTATGATAAATTATTTCTGTCCTCGCAAATAATGCTAACTAGCTTAAAACGGAACACTTAAACTGGTTTCCAAGGCTCAGTTTTCTGTCATTTCGGGTTGTTTCTTTCTTGTCGCCTGCCCTTAAGTTCCTTATCCGATGTCAGGATGTCCCAAGAGTCGAAGAACAGCACTGAGGTTGCCTGATGAAGTAATGGTGGGCTTTTATGGTGCACTGGTTTTATTTATCCTGTGTTTTATTTATCCTATATTTTCACCATATGTAGTGAAAAATGGCAGCCAGAGGACATTTTTGGTGTAGGGTAAGAAAAACACAGTGTGAACCAACACATGTTGCAAAACCCCTCCCCCTAAACCACTGAAAAATTGTGAGCTTTTTAAAACTTAGTCATCCTGTCTGTTCCACATGCTAAGCACAAGTAAAATATGGCTCACCCTTCCGTTGTACACAGTGTTCCAGCACATTGATTTTCATAATAAAATGTATAAAATCGATTTTATTCTATGTGTTTCCAGTGCTGTGGTGGTGCAGTTTTTCTATTCTGCATCCACATACCACATAGGTCTAATGTGTGATATCCATCTCTTAGAGCTTTCTGTTGGAAATCGTGGTGGTTTCACCCCAGGCAGCAGCCAAGCCCCATGCAGCCACTCGCTCACTCCCCACCAGCAGGACTGGGGAGAGAATCAGCGGGGTAAAAGCCACAAAACTCATGGATTGAGATAAATACAGTTTAATAGGGAAAGCAAAAGCCACACACACGAAGTGAAACAACGAATGAATTCCCTGCTTCCCATGGGCAGGCAGGTGTTCAGCCATCCCCAGGAGAGCAGAGCTCCATCACACCTAACAGCGACTTGGGAGGACAAAGCCATCACTCCAAACATCCCTCCCTTTACATACTGAGCATGATGTCACATGGTCTGGAACATCCCTTTGCTCAGCTGGGGTCACCTGTCCTGGCTGTGTCTGCTCCCAGTCTCCATACACCCCCAGTCTGCTCTCCAGTGTGGCAGTACCAAAAGCAGAAAAGGCCTTGGCTCTGTAGATATTGTTCATCTCTTAGTTTTGGGTGTTTTTTTGAGACATCTGGCAGTATCCCACACAAGTTCTAACACTCAGGATTTGACCTTCATTTTTTATTTGGAGCTCTTAAGCAAGAACACAATTGTGACCAAACAGTTCCAGTTGAAAGCACAGCAATACTTTTATGTTGTCAGAAGAATGGGACCACATTATCCTAGGTGCTATATAAAATCCCCATTGTTGCTTTTTTTGGTGTAAGTTCATAAATATAAGAAAACTGGCAAATTTGCTTGCACTGGTTTTATTTGTCCTGTATATTTTTGCCATATGTAGTGAAAAATGGCAGCCAGAGGACATTTTTGGTCTTGGGTAAGAAAAAGATTTGAAGAAATAATTAAGCTGCCTGCAGCTGAGACAAATTCAGAGTCAAAGCTAAGCATTCAGTACAGAAAATGAAAACAGAGAGAAGGAGGTGGGATACTTTCCACTGGGAATAAAAAATGGGGGGAAAAAAAGGAGGAAAAGGATGAAACAGATGGGAATAAATATCTGTGAGGGGCTTAGAGGGCATAAGAAATAAAGCCTGGAGCTTGTATGAGGAATACATAAGAATACACTTCATTAGTTGATTAGTGCCATTATTTCTTAAAATCTAAACGGATAATATTCCATTCCACACAACATTTCATACAGGTTTTTATTTTGAGATGCTAAATTTATGCCATTCCCTTTAGACTAAACTTTAATTTCACTTTTAAATGGGTTTATGATGCTTAAATATCTATTCAGTGACTCCAGATAACTAATACAGTAACACCTTAATCTGTCACTTTCCAGCTCTTCAATTTGGAGCTCTGTTGTCAGTCATTTAGTACTGTGCTCTGCTAACCACTATTTTCCTTTTTTTATGTTCTTTACCCTTGACTTACTTGACTGACATTGATTCATCTGAGGAAGATGATGAGAGCAAGGAAAATGTAGCTATTTCAAAAAATGCTTACACATTTATTACTGTGCTGGGTGGTTGGTCTTATAGATGAAGCACCTGAGAAACTGTCTAAAATAATTGAATAAATGAAGAAATTAATTATTTTACAAAGGGAAAGAAATGTATGTGATGCCACAAGACTTGGCTTTCAAAATTCCTGCTCTCATCTGAAATTCAAATGATAAGGCTATATATGGGTCACAGAGCCCTTCAAGATCATGCTATACAGATGGCATGGAAAAATTATTATATTTTATTCTTTTCTGACTTGATAAATGTAAAAAGACCAGGAATGTTCCTGTTCAAAAATATTTCCCCCCTTGTTTATGGAATAAAATTGGCTCCCTCTGCTGGCAGACATAACTTAATTTTAACCTCTGAAGCTTTTAGACAACGGCGCTCAAAATGAACTCCGAACTGCAAACAGTGCCATGCTAGAAGAGACGTGTTGCACACAGTGCATATGTACAGGTAGATATGCACATACTTTTTTTTTTTTTTCTTTTTTATCCTTCTAAGCTGTTCAGCCTGAGGAATGACCAACTGCTCCTTTCTCCTGCTCTGGATTGTCTGAGCCCTGCTGCGCTCCTGGCACGGCACAGGACCATCGACAGGAGCATTAGCCGGGGCTCCGCCCAGGGGGTGCCTTGGGAAGAGGCGAACCGGGCAAAACACCAACCTCGAGGGACTTCGGCACCACCGCGCCGCCCAGGGCCAGGCGGGCCAGCCTTTATTGCAGCCAGGCTCTCCTCCGCCCCGTTTCCTCCCCGCCGCGGCTGCTGTGGCTCTGCGGCCCGGGGCCCGCCCGCAGGGTGGCGGGGGAAGGCCGGGGACGGAGGGCGCGGCAGGCCCGGCCGCCCTCAGCGGTGCCGCAGCGTCTTCGTGCGGCCGCTTGGCCCTCAGGGCGTATTGCATGTAAGCTAAAGATCTGGCAGGATTTGTTAGTGAAAGAACAAGTTCAAACGCGGCCTTTTAATTTAACGTTCAAATTAAAAAATCTGTAATATAATGACTTAGACTCTGCAGAGCGCTTGCCGGACGAGGACTTCTCTGGCTACCAAGGCAGGCACAGGGAAGAAATCTCTCAAGGGAACGCTGGTGGAAAAGTCCCAGGCTTTTGGAATATAATTGCTTGACTAGTTCGGTGGTGGGAGATGTTGAAGAAATTTGGGCATTTTAATATTCAGTCGTGGAACTTGTCATTCAGTGCCGATGCTGAAAGTTTACATGTGTTTATAGCATGGGAGGAAGGTAGTTCTGCAGACTGACAGACACTGACAGCTGTCCATTAGAGCATCATTTTGGTGGGTAGTTGCAGTTCTGTCGGTAAGAGAGTCAAGGTGGGGTCATGACTCTGTCCTTAAGAATGGTAATTCTCAAGGTTTTCAGGGTCTCTGAACAGTTCTAACCTGTTTTTGCAGAGGTACAAAGTTAGTGAAACCACTTTACACCTGTTGAGAGACAGCTGAAGAGTTTAGTGTCCGGAATTAGGCCAGCAGTATTACACAACACCAACAAACATAAACCTTATATTTAGCTACTTACCAACTGAGAAATAATTTATTTTTGTTTTTAATTTTTTTATCATCACAAGCAGAAAAACAGATTTTGGTTTATTTATGCAATCCATAATTAATACAGCATAAAATCTGTCACTGAAATCTGTCCCTTGCATACAGTTTTGGAGAATTTTATGGATCCTGTTCTAAGATTAGTGATAAAGTTGTCTCCAGATGTGTTTCTTCAGTGCTTTTCTGTTCACTAGAATTAGAACCTTTTATTGGGAGTTGCTGATGGACAAATTTGCCCTTAAAGTTTCAGGAATGGCTTTTAACAGTTACTGGTCTTGATCTTTGAGTCAGGGATATCAGCTTGTCCTTAAGCTATGCTAGCAAATCAAGCAGGAATTTTTTTTTTTTTTTTTTTTTTTTGTTTTGTTCTATATTGGGCTGTTTTGTCAAAAGTAACTTACAAAATGTTTGTTAAGTTCTAAAAAACCTTACTGTACCATGGAAGGTCTGGGGGACAGCAGAAAGCATTTTTTCCAAGG